AAGATCATAATTTTTTAGTCTTGTTTCTGTGTCGAATGATGAAACACTTCGAGTCTGGGACATTGTCGACGGAAAATGCCTTCACACTTTGGCTGTCGATTGGTGGGTATGTGTATTAAAGTTATGGCTTAAACAAAGCTAAATTTCAGAGTTGTGTGGAATTTGATGGAGAACGGGTTGTAGGTGGCGTCCATGATGATACCGTGAGCGTTTGTACAGTTATTAGTGCAATTTATAATCTTCTATAAGGTTTGGAATTAGCCTCCACCGTCAGGGGTGTCGCTATTCCAATCGGATCGAAATTTGACGCGATAGCTTGGATAATTTTTCGCTTTGTGAGTGGACGTTCAGCTTGAATCTTTGTAGTCTGCAATAATGTATCAGCGCTACTGTGCCATAACATTCCCAAAAGTTTCATTGAATTTTCTTCAATTTTGTCTTCAACTGGAATTGAGTTGAGAACTCGTTCATTGTTGCTTGAGAATTCTCGAATATTCATCTTCATTTCTCCAAAGAGTTTTTTGTAGGTCTTGTACTTTTGAATAGCTTCGACTTCATTATGAGCTCCGGCAAATAAGTTTTCAACGTACATATTCTCTCGAACTTCTTCCTTTAAATCTGGATCATTTTGTTTCAACATATAGAGGATTGACATTGTAAGCCGAAATGCACTGGCTTTGCCTCCAAATGGTGTTCTCGTGTAGCAAAGTAACTTTAGGTTTTGAAATGAAGCCGGTTTATTCGGGTCTTTCAACCATAATATCCTAACCGAATCTCTTTCCGAATCTTGTAAATGAATTTGATGGTAGGCTTTCTCCAATCAGCTGTCAGCAATATAGAAAATGTTCTCAATCTTAGCAATATTCCAATCATGTTTGGGATCAACCTTGGTGCATAATTTCATTCAGCGACTTTTGACCTTTCATACAGGCACTTGCATTTAGAACGATCCGTAACTTGGTTGTTCTTGAAACTTCTTTTATGACGGCTTGATGTGGAATATAGAAACTTGTTGAATTTTCGACTTTTCTAGGTGCTTCCTCCAAAATTCCTTGCTCCATTTGCTTCTTGAATTCTTCACTGTACTTCGCCAGTAGCTCAGGTTTTCTCTTTAGTTGTTTAGTCAAGCTGTGCAGGTATTGCATTGCCAATTTTAAGTTGTCATTGATTCGTGGATTTTGCTCGATCCATGGAAATTTGACGTGAACTTTTCCGTTGATAATTTTCACCTCCTTTTTGAATTTTTCCACAACTTCCTGCTGTTCTCCTTCAGCCGCTTTTGCTTCAGGTGATTCATTGATGCCAATTCTTTCAAGATCCCAGAGGTTTTCTTCTGAAATTGTTCCAATGGCTGTAGATATATTCGTAATCTGCTTAACTGTCAAATTCAACTTCAAATCCAGTTCACCGCACTTAACTGTTTCCAATTTCGTTTGAATTTGCACCAAACCGCTCGGCTGTTTAGTCCAGGGCTTAATAACTTCCCAACAAGCATTCTGTCCAATTATGATTTCAATATTAACTTCTTTAACTTCAGGCACGTCTCCGATGGCCATGTTTGCTGGTGGAAGATTGGGCAACTCCATCACGTCGAGAATGAAGGCGTCAGGTAGGTTTTTGTCGAGCGCTTTCTTGTTTTGCAATAAAACTTCGTAACATTTCGTGTTGATTGAGCTTTCTGCTCCAATAGCTGTTCTGATCTTTGAATCTTTGGTTGTGGAAACTTTTAACTTTAATTTTTGTACGAATCTTTTTGTAATAAAACTATCCGTTGAACCTGTGTCCAATAAAATATTTGCACTCGCATCAATTTGATAATCCTCATTCTTGGCAACAACTTGTAACATACTTGTGACTCGAACTTTCCGATTAATTTGGGAACTGTTATAACATAGTAAACTTGGAATTTGAGTTCAACTTTCCGAAGCCTTATTGATTGCTGTTTGCCGTTGAATTTTTGGCTGGATGACTTGCTGGCTCCTCATTGATGGCACGGAAAAACTCCGAACCGCAGTCCATTTGTGAATTTTGAGAAAAATATCCTGTTGCGGCGGGTTCAACATATCCGTTATTCGAATTTTCTTGAACCTGTAGATGATTTAAATTACTAGCTGTGTTTTGCCTAAATGTATTAACTCTATTACCAAAATTGGGACCTGATTTCCTGCACGTGTTTGTGTGGTGTTGTCCTTGGCATTTCTGGCACCTCTCGTGTCGGCAGTTGCGAGGTGTCCTCCTCCAAAGCATGTGGCGCACACTCTTGCTGTCCTCGCGCATTCCATAATTCGTTGAAGATCCATCCTTGACATTTCACGGCAATCCTTTGATTTGTGGTTGTTTCTTGCGCATAAGATGCACTTTATAGCTTCATTCTGTTGAGCCTTTGCAAAATTATTCGAGCTAAACCCATTTGAATTGAATTTATTCGAGTTGAACTTGTTCGAATTGAAGTTGTGAGATGTACCCTCAACTTTTTGATGAGTTTTCTTGTGCAAACTTCGTAGAGCTTCATAATTTTGCCTAGCTTGAATTTCAATTTCAATCTTTTGCATCAATTTTGTAGTGTTCCATTCATCGCCAGAGTCTCGTTCTTTCTCGTCAACTTTTGCTATGATCGAAATATGAAACTTTGTTTTGATCTCGCGCTTCATGAGCACGAATTCAACATTTTCCTTATTAGGGCAAACTTCGCTCAAACTGGAGCAACCTGGCACTATCACAATTACTTCAACACTTGCGTGTGAAAAAGAATGAAGTAGAAAAAAGGAGCCCACAACTACTGACTCAAGACAAAGCTTAAATAATGGGTTTTTAACTACACAACCTACGCCAAACCAACAACTGAACATCGTCTAGTGGCTGATTACGGTAGTTTATCCATCAACTTTGAATTTTAACTTCTGCTCCCTTCTGGCCTTGTCTATTTTCTTTGTCTGCCAACCTCTGATCTTGTGGATTGGCCTTCTCAGCCTTCTCATACAAGATCTAAACAGCGGCATCAGTGATTCGAAAGTTTGCAAAATCTCGACATCTACCAGCGTTGGCAACCCAACAATGCCAATGTAAAGCATGAAACGCTGCGTGCAATTCGTGTTCTTGGGATAGATCGATACTAAAAGACTGTTAAAGAAAGGCAAATTGCAAGATTTGACCTTCAATGATCAGACCGAATGCCCAATGCGAAAGAGTCAAGTTGATTCCTTCTGTTCATTCTGGGCCAAGCCAAAGCCAAGGTTTTAAGCCAATTCCATGGTAAGGCTGAAAAGCAATCCCACTTTAAGCGCAAATATCTTGGTGTTAAGCTATTTAATTTCTACATTTTGGTTTCATTAGATGCGCCAAGTCTTTCTCTATCGATTGGTATAAAAACTATTGAAATTCGTTGGCCCAATCCAAAGAAATTTGAGCTTAAAGTTCGATTACCAATGGCCATATTCCACTGGCCGCTCTGGCCTGTGGGATTTGGCCAAGGCTTCTCATGGTCCAGTTTTGATCGAATCTGAACAAGATCTAGCCTGATTTTGGTTGAAATTATGCTTATAGTAAGATATTCTTTTGATTCGACAGTCAAAAAAGTCAAATTCGATCAAAACCTGTTCAAAAAAAACTCACGATCCGTTCTTTGAGCAAAATGATCGGAATCGGAAACATAATGACTGCAATGGTCGACAGCTTTTTAACCTTACTAGCGCCAAAAATCGAAAACAAGAGTCGAAAAGATAAAAGTCTGGACCTGGGCTTTCCATTCTGACTGAGCTAATAAGGGGATTAAAATGAAGACTTGGCTATTGATCTTCTTTTTATAATAATCACTATTGATAAAGATCTTTATTGTTCTAGTGATAATGATCTTTATTGATCACTAAACGCTGAGGCTTATGCCAAATTTCGGCTGCTATAATGCTAAATTATTCTACACTAGCTAGACCCTAGCCTTAAAGTCAACATGTAAAACAAAGAAGTAAATTTTGGCCGACCGCAGCTCCAACCCCCGAGCGGGGTTTTAAGTCTGCCGATAAACTTCACCTTACCTACGAGTATGTGCACTAAAGGGTATTTCGTGGGTGAACTGCTAAAAAGCGCAATGGAAAAGAGCTTTTTGAAAAGTGAAATATGGTTTTGTGCACATTCCTCTACCGTAAACCTCTTGATGGCGCGTTCTAAAACGTGCTCCTTTCGTATATTTAACGAAACTTTTTGCCATAAATTTCATTCTTTGCAATTGGTCCAGCAGGTGTATGTGCCGTAAATACTGTGATAGTACCCCACCGGCCTCTAGTGCGTGTCACATGGGCGGGGTACTCTTACAGTGTTTACAAGAGCTAGTAATAGTATTTTGTCTGGGGACTTTTCCTTTTATTAATTACGATGTTATCTCTGCTGTAATTTTTCATTTAGTGGAGATGTCGAATAGACCGGAGAGCAGCAAGACTCAACTCCAGGACTCAACCCCGGAGAGTCAACCATTGTTCCAGAAGGACTTCTTGGCACAATTGCCAAAGGAGGTTTGTTAAAGCCTGTGGGAGTAATTGTTGATTTTTAGATTGCTTATCGCATCATCGCCCATTTGACACCGCGCGATTTGATGACTTGTGCTGGCGTTTCGACGAGGTGGCAACGGATTTGTGAAGATGATCAGACTTGGCGACAGAAATGTTTCGAGAACGGATATGTGGAATTTGATGCGCCAAGGTTTGTTACAGTTTTGAGCCGATAATATAACACTTAAAAATACATATCTGACAGATTTATATTAAGCTGGATTTTAAGACTTGTAGAATATCGGACAGTAATGTTATTCATTCCAAAGGAAACAAGGATATAAAACGAGAGAAAACATATGATAATGTTTGTTTAGATGAACTAGTTCATATTTAGGAAATCGATTGTAAAAAGACTCGTCTCAAACTTATTTTTTTAGTTTTCGTTTTCTCGGAGGTTGGGCGGCGAATCCAGCGCCCCGAGCAAATAAGCAAGCGGGAATCACAATCTGTTCACATATGGACGTTCAAGAAGCACAGCAGAATCGACAAGCACGCGAGATCGCATATGGACAGTTAGTGACCCAACTTGTTGCGAAATGACGTTTTTTCTAGATGTTATGAGCGTTCGCCATGGAAGTCGCTGTACTTGCGAAAGAAGCGAATCATTTCGAATTGGCGATCCCGAGCGATTCAATCAAGCACTGTTCTAAAGGTTTGAATAAATGGTTTGACCGAAAAGATGATTTTTAGGATGACATTAAACAATTCATTGGTCTACAAATTCACCCTGGTCGTATCATTACTCGTTCTCATGATTTATATACCTTTCGCGTCTGGAATGTTGAAGATGCTGAAGTTTATATTGTGTAATTGTCATTCTACTTCCGAATTTAGCCGGCTTTTACTTTAACTGGTCAGAATGGTCTCCCTTGGTCGCATCAAGTGAGCGAAGATGGCCAATGCATTGTCAGGTTGGTTAATAGACTATAGCTAGTGCAGTTCATCAGAGTTGCCAATGAAGCTAAAAAGATTCAAACAAAAATTCTGATGACAACAAATACTATTGTAATATTTCAGTGGCGGGCAGGATGGGACGGTTCGCGTTTGGTGTGGTCAAACCGGTGCACAGCTTCATGTTTTGCAGGGACATACGCAAGGGATTCCATGCATGAGTCTACATGGCACAACGTGAGTGATCTGAATTTTCTGCTTTAGTTAAGATCATAATGTTTTAGTCTTGTTTCTGGGTCGTATGATGAAACGCTCCGTGTCTGGGACATTGTCGACGGGAAATGCCTTCACATTTTGGCTGGTCACTTGGCGTGGGCATGTGTATTAAAGTTGTGACTTGAACAAAGCTAAATTTTAGCTAAATTTTTGTGTACAATTCGATGGAAAACGGGTTGTATTTGTTGGCCGTTATTGTACCGTAAAGGTACAGTTATTAGTGCAATTTATAATATTCTATTAGGTTTGGCATGTACACACGGGCGAGTGCTTGCAAATGTTGACTGGTCACAGGGATATAATCTTTTCACTTTTGGTAAGCTGAATTGTCAAATTTTGACTTTTATCAGGATTCTGCTTTAGTTTGAGTCACAGCGTGATCTTGTCGTGTCAGGTAGTCGTGACCGAACGATTCGCGTCTGGGATGTGCAAAGAGGAAGTGGTTTTTACTTGTTGACTATTCTATTACAATGTCATCTATATTTGTTTCTTTCAGCATGCATCGCACATCTTGACCTTCTTCAAGAGTTAATGTTCGAAGGTTATGGGTGTGGGATGCAGCTTCGCGGAAACATTTTAGCCTGCTATTACGGTTCGGACGTTTGGGTATGTTTAATCAATCCTATGAAAACTACTTCCATTTCTTTAGGTTTGGGACATTCGGGAGGGTGGCTCGTGCATTCACCATTTACATGGCGTAAATGGTCACACGTCGACCATCACTTCATTGCAATGGCTCGAATCGGGACTTTTGGCGACGGGTTCGTGTGATGGCTTGGTCAAGCTGTGGGATTTGGATCAAGGTATCTTGTTTTAAATTACCTATAGGACTATAGGACACAAAATCCATAAGATTTGGCTATAAAATACAGACTTCAAGTTTTTATCTACACTGGAGTTTATAACTACATAACATGATTTATTGACGATTCGAGCTTAGAAATATGTTGATGGTTAGTATTCTGTTGTTAATTTTTTATCAACCAGGCAAGAATTTTTTGATTTTCAGGTATCTTTGTTCGTGATCTCATTCGTCTTCCATTGGTTGACCATCAGACCATGAGATATAATTGGAATCTCAAAGCCTCTGAAACATTACTCGTCTGTGAAGTTCGAGTTTGGCAACGCCATTCGGGAGACGAGACAAAGATCATCTTGATCGATTTTGACGCATCATATCCATAGGTATATTTGTATTTTTGCTCTTTCCCTATTGTGATTTTCCGAAGAACTCTGTCGTTTTTCCATTCTTCTGAACTTTCATTTCCTTTGATTTCCTTTCAGTGATTACCCACATTTTACACGCTTGTATACCATAATCTTCATTTTGTGAACCTTTTTCCATTAACCTGCTGTTAGTCATTGACCTTCTCTAATGTTTCAGAATCGTCAAGAGCAAACCATCTTTAAAATTACTATTCCTTCGAATTAGTTGGTTGATTGCTTGCTGTCAACGTTCGATTATTTTTAGTCCGTATCGAGTCCTGTGATTCTTGATTTGCTCGATTTTTCAAGATTCAAGAATCTATATCTCACCGGTTTAAATCTAAATAAAATGCATAAGCAACTGATATTGGCAAAAAAGCAACCCAGGTCAACTGCCAGACTCCTTCAATGAATACGATTCCGCAGATGAAAATTTTCACTCCGACAAAAGCTCTGGCTTTCGCTCTACAGTTTTCAAATGTACGGTGTGCTTTTTGACTTTTGATTGTTTACAGGTTTCAATTGACAGAATCTTGCTTACCATTTTGTTACACGAAACTCCAACCAGGGAAGTGCACCCACTTAAGGTGAACTTTTGGATGACTTTTGGTCTTTCAACACTTAACTTTGTTTTATTTTTATTTTTCACAAGGTATCATACTGAATTTTTATATAGAATTCTATAAATAAGAATTCTAGAATAGACTCTCTTTCTGCTTTCCTAAAAGAAATCGCCAGCAAAGATTGTGCAGAAAATAGGTGGTGAAAGATCGTTTATTCTGTCCTTTTTGTGGGTGGTAAAGTTTTGTCTGTTACTTCACTTTTTATCATCAATGTTGAGCTGTGAATGTTCAATCTTTTTCATAAACCTCAATACAAAAAATTCATTGTGATACTTCCTGAAATCGAAAACTAAAACAATTTTAAGTGTTGGATGGTCAAATAAAAAGAAAAACAAAGGATGGAAATGAACTCAAGCAAAAAATGAAGAAATCGTATCGTACATAAGCCTTAATTGAGCGCACTTCCCTTGCGAGTTTACCCTGTTTCTTCGATATTTGTGAGCGTATTTGTTGAAGTCTGTGATCTGTCGACGATCAACGATTTGAAAGATGTACCTGAAATTTGACGATCGACCTTTGTCTAGCTCCTAAGAATTACGATCTGTTGGACTTAATCTGTGATTTTCTCTTTCTCTTTCCCTTTTCCCCTTTTTTCTCAGACAATGATGCCCCTTTGTGATGACACGAATCGGTGATAAGCAAGAGAATTTGCGACTTGCACTCATAAATTTTCACTTCGAATTACTCATAAATTCTATCGACTTGTTTACGCATCCCGAAAAAAAACTGAAAATTATCCCTTTTCAGATTTCTTGGCCTCGAAAAATGTCAAAAAAAATCCCCCTTGACAATAAATCCCCAAGAAACTCCTCAACTTTTGCCCATTTTGCCCATTTTTTCTTTGTTTTCTTGACTCTTCCCCGATTTTCAAGGGCAATATTTCATTTCGAAGCAGTTTCGAGTTGAGAAATCACCTTTTCTGTCTCTTTTTCCTATCCTAATCAAGATCAACCCCGAGAAACGTTTTTGCTTAAAGAATTTCCCCATTTTTTTAAAACTTTTTACGAATTATGGATGTCATTGATTAAGAAAATGTTAAGAAATAGAAATTTTTGCGATTTTTACAAACTCGGATTCTGGTAGGGAAGAGTTTGAACGATTTTCTGCGCTATGGATTCGAAAAGGTATCCTAAAAACTTTTGCACACTTGTTTTGGAAGGCACTTGAGCTGAAAAAGTGATTATTTGATTTTGCGGCAGTTTTTTTTGGAGTCCCGGGGATGCCTGTTGTAGATCGAACAACAGATAACCACCCCACCCCTCCCCTGCCTCCATTTGCTTCAAAAATGATAAACCATTCCCCTTTCGCCCATCTAGTTCATCAAATTATGCCCCTTTTCGCTTTTTGCCCGCCAATTCCACCCTGCACAATTGATGTGTTTATTATGCAGCGCCCCTTGCCTTTCCCTTGTCAATTTCTGCCTGAAAATTGAGAAATTTGTCACCCACCGTTAGCCATTCGTCTAGTTGGATGCCACAGTAGCTTTAAATTTAATTATTTACTTTGAAAGACGATTTTTGAAATTTTAGCTTATCATGGTTGAAAGAGAGCAAGAGATTTTCTTGAAAATTTTCGATTCTATCGAGAATTTACATACTTCTTAGTGGATTCGGGAGCGCATTGGATAATCAGCGCTTAAAAAGAGCTTTAAAAAGAGCTTTAAAAAGAAATCTTATTTTGTTGATTGATCGAGAGCGCCGGCGACAGTGGTTTTGATTGAACGATCTCGAGAAGGGCCGATCCGAGATTCGATCGCTTCTTGGGTGTAAAAAGTGTGCTGTCTTTTCGAAAAGTTAATCTAACTATTCCTAGTGACATTTGAATAGGGTTTTCTGTTTTTTTTCGGCCAAATTCGATTGGTACTCGATGGCCGTTTTTGGCTTTTCAAACATTCTCGATTTTGACAATATGCATAGAATCGTCAATCTTACCGTTTCCAAGTCTCTACCAATTCTCAAAATATCCGTCAAAGTCAATCAACCACTTCCCATCTTCCCTTCTTCCTTTCTTCCTTATTCCTTTCTCTTCACTATTTGTGATTTCCCTGGGTGATTGATGTCTCCTTTGGGAAAATCGGGCGCGACTCCTAGCCTCTAAATTTTGACTCTATTGATATTTTTAGTCATTTACCCGCAAACCCTGACACTTCTTTGAATTTATTACCGATTTAGAGAGATTTATTGCTTTTCGAGCCTTTTCCTTTACTGCAAAACTGTTGAAATCTTGATCCAACTCGATCCAACTCGACCCAACTCCAATCTTCATCTAATCTAACTCATTCGCTGTTGAAGTCTTGTTGCTGTCGCTCGTTTTTATATCCTAGTCTCAGCTCTTTCAGCAAGATCATCAAGATCACATTCTTTAGAAAATAACTAGCCTAACTATTGGAGAAATGTCGGATATTAAAGCAACCAAGAACAATCAAGAACCCGGACTGAGAACTTCTCGCTTAGGCAGCATATTCCTCAGATCTAACATCAGATTACCGTTCATTTTGATCAGTGGATCAATGGAAAATGCCCTAGAGCACTTTGAAGATGAAAAAGATACCAAAAAATGGGTACAGAATTAGTATAGACTTTAGTAGACTCAAAATCAAAGATTTTTGACTCAAAGATTCAAAGATTGAGGCGAGAAGAATTCGCCCTCTACTAAGTAAAATAGGGGAAAGTTTCTTTCTAAAATAGGGAAAAGAAAAAGATGAAAATTTTTTTGTATTGATTCAAGGTCGTTTTATTGAAGAAAGATTTCTTTTTGAAATTGACTATTGGCCAACCGAATAGTTTATGGCTTAATCTAGCTGTCTGTACCTGTACCCGTTCTCGGTTTTAGCTTAAAAAGCTTAGAAAATTCCACAATATAGACTTAAACAGGCTATTGGAGGGTTGAGAACGATTTAGGGAACGTTTTGAAAACAGTTTAGATTATGGGGCCTTCTCTAGCTTCTTTCAAATTCTTCTTTAAACAAAAACTACTCGAATCTGACCGCCGATTTCCATTTGATCAGCTTAATTTTAGTCACTTTTGACAAAGGAATAACGAAATTTGATCAATTGGGCTCAAAATTGAGCCAATCGAATGAAAACTGGCAACGAAACTGCGGTTTATCAGAAAATTTACAATTTACATTCGAGAATTGACTCTGCCACTCGATCATTGAAGCCTTTTTCTCGATTTTGTCAATTTTTTCTCCCAATTTTTCATCGTCGCCTCTTTTTCTTGACTTGAAAATCCCTGGGGATTTGTTGAAAAGTCCGTTTGTCGGTCAAAATGTCCGTTTCTCTCAGCTAAAAACCTTTCAACTTTCAGATATGTAAAACAGCTGAAAAATGTTGAAAGAATGGGCAAAGAAATAATTTTTCTGATTATTCTTGTTTCCCTACTGGCGATCAACTATCGAAAAGATCTCTGGAAAGTCGCTTTGTGGCTGGAAGATGCGCATTTCCCGTTGGAAGGTCGGTTTTCAGATTTCAGATTTCAGATTCCCTGCTGCACCCTAAATTGCTCGAAGTCTCGAAAATCCCTTATCAGAATCTATCGATGTGGGGTTGGAAAATGTAGATCTGACGATGAGATCTTGTGGGGGATTAGAGTGTTGACCTTCTGTGCAAAACTTGGAAACCGTAAAATCGGCATCAACTCGGCTCGGCGGGGTGCACTACGATTAGGGAAAACACGGCGTTATTGCTGATCATCGGAAATTTGCCAATCGGGCCCGAAGATCAGTTAGCCAGGTCAGAAGCCAGGCTCAAGACTGTCTGACTGTCTTGAGCTTCCAGCCAGCGCCGGCATGCACTTTTGTGTGCGCAGGTCAGAACTACCAAACAATAAGTTCACGAGGTGTTCAGTATTTACGGCGACTTCTTTTTCGTATCTCCCAAGCGCCAATTTCAACCCTAATATGTTAAATGTTATCTGAAAATGATCAAGCGCTTAATATTGGCTACGTTTAAGTTTTGTAACGGCCCAGGAAACGAGCTTTGCTTTCGTTGTTTCCATTCAATTCAACAATCTTACAATTAGTTTTGACCTTCATTGTGGTCCGGCTACGAAAAGTTCCAGATTCTCCACTCGGCTCCAACATGGAAATAGATTTCTTTCTCATTTCAAAGAGAAACACAAAATTTATTTGCGACTGAAAATTCAAATTTAACATGAAAGCATCTCGAAATCATTCTTTACTTTTATTTCTTTAAAGTTTCCCGTTTGGAGAAGTACAAAACATTTTACAAGCCATTGAATAGGGCTAAATGAATAGCGCGCCTGGCTAAATCACGGGCACATCAAGTTAAAGAGTAAAATGATCAAGAAAATGAAAGCAAAGCTATTCTTTTGAAGATTATTGAAAAGTCAGCTCTAGGCTTCTTTAAAAACCTTAAAAACTTCTCTTCTAACCCTCCAATTTCATCCAAATCAGTCTTAAAGCTAAATGAAACCAATTTAGATTCACCCGTGTTTCCGCTTGGCGCTTCGTTAATCAAATCAAGTGACGGACTAAGAATACCTGGCTTAAATGGTTGGTCTTTCATCAGCTTTTTACGACAATATGCTAACGTTAAAAGAATCTAAACAAAAAAAAGCGAAAATTCATATTTTTTGCCGCACTAATTACAAGACGTAGATTCAACTACTGTTTTTAGCCTCAATCAAATGCATCGATCGATCAATTATCCCAAAATATCCCGTCTTGGGCGAGGGATGGAATAAACGAGTCTACTCTTTTGAGGAATTCGCTCTAAAAACTCCGCACCTTAGCGGCCACTCGATGCGCCTTTGTCAGAAGAAATTTTTCACGAAAATCGACTCGGTACGGGAATTTTTCTACAGATTTAGCCGATCTAGAACACACGACACTTAAAAAACCAATTTCCAGGAGAAACTCTGCCAATTGCAGCTTCGCGAGTCTTTCCTCCGCGAAATCCTCTGGCTCAAACGGCTAGAAAATGACCCGAATGTGCCTAACGTGGGTCGATTTCGAATTGAAAGTTCATCCTGGAACGCACAAGGCTTACTCTAAAAGTTTTAAGCTCGAAACTCGCTTTGGGAATTCTATCTTATTCGGGGTGATAAATGGCTTTGAAAATGAAATCTGTACAAGTTAAACTGGAAAACGCTAGTTTTCATCGAGTTTCCATTTCTAGCTGTTCTCCTACTGTGCCGAGCTGGATAACTACTCGATTTTGATTGAAAAAGGCCAGCCAGTGACTACTTTATCCCTGCTGGCTGTCACTTTACAGCAACGGATCGCCATCGTCCATCAGATCACCGGTTTCCTCCTCCGCAACTCCGAGATCGATTTTCGGGACTTTCGAAGGCAACAAGTTCGTGAACTACTGCTGTGAGCTCCAGATCGAAGAAATTTCAAGAAAATTTCAAATTTCAGTTCGTTCTCAACGCCGAGCTCATCCCGTTATTCGTCGACTTTGATGATGTTGTCAAGAAGGGGAACGGCGGCGGTAATTGTTTTAAAAATCAGCATTTTGGCTTGAAGCAAGGGAACAATCATAAATCGTTCAGATGACACAAAAACAGCCACTCAAATCTATCGATCAATGATTTACGAGTTTCTCGCCGTTGGAGCAAACGAGACCCAGGTGAAATATCGTCAAAAAAGCATTATAGCCAAAAAATCTCGCTGATATCTAAATCCTGGATGTCAGCTTCAAAAAAGGTCGAGTTACTGTAGCTTGATCACTATTTATAACAGACTAGTTTAACAGACCAGCGCTCTATGACCTCAAGTCCAAGAAAACACTATAAAACAGTTAACTCGCTTTTTTAAGGTCAAATTTCTAAATTCTGGATGTCATGCTACAAAAAGAAGCTATTTTACGGCGTCTAGATCACTTTTTAGCTCTCCACCCTTCGTGACCTCGATCAAGTACACGACCGTGGCCAGCTCTCCGTTCATCTTCTAGACGATTTTTTGAGTAGATTGTAAGATCTGGAGGGCACTAGGCTGATTGTCCAGTAAAAAGACTGTACTTTTACTGTAAATTTCTTTACCCTAAACCTCATGCTTTCCATTTTTGATAATTTCACTATTTGATTCCTATTTGACACATCGATTTTCTAATTTTATGCGGGTTCTTACAGTATTTTTAGCGATATTTCAATGCAATGCACTTTATTCTTGAATGCCTTGCTTTTTCTTTCATTTTTTTTGGCCAGTTTACAGGCTATTTTGTAGATAGTTTTTGTGTGTAATCGGATAAATTTGAATTATCAAAAGTGTTTTTGAAATCAATTCCTCTGCCGTTGATTCGGGTTCACTGTGGCGAAGATTTGATCCTGTAAATGAAAAATTCTTAAAGAAAATAGACAACAACCTTTTTCACAACCGCATACAAATCTTGATCATCGAGGCGCCGTTTGTACCACAACTAAACAGGTATACGGTAGAGATTCAATTCACTTACGGCTGGATTCTTAAAGAAAGCTGACTAGATTTCTTGAGCCTAAGCCAAGCCTGAGCCTAAGCCTGAGCCTAAGCCAAAGCCAAGCCTGAGCCTAAGCCAACTTACCCTTTGCACCACCTAAGGAAAGAGATAGCAGAAAGGCCATTGATTTACGATCGGCCATAATAAACCAATAAACCATTGTCATTGCTTTTGGCAGATTAGAACAAGCCTAGACTAGGGCCGGAAACAGGTATCAATAGATAGATATGGTCGGTCAGGCCAGAGCTTCTGGCATTAGAATCAGCAGCAAGTCTATTTTCATGAGCTCAATGTCAACCAGTGGACCGAACCTTGCTTTTGACCAGCAGCCGATCTGTCTTACATCCTTACATCCTTACAAGGGACATGGGATGAAAACGATCCTTTAGTTTAGAAGGCTGGCCAGATCTGGATCAACGACAGGTCAAGTAAAGTCATCCAGAAGCAGAGTCTGGCCTGGCCTTGGCCACTGGGTCTGAGATTCGACCAGAACAACCAGACCTGGCATTCGACCCGGCTCTAGACCCGGAACTCTGGAATCCGGTGGTCAATTTCCTATTCCAAAACCTTGAACACACCCGTTTGCGGCTGTCTGGAAACTGGCGCAAAAGTGGGTGTGCAAAAGTGGGTGTGCACAAACCATAATTCGTGCTTACTGCCTCGTTGTTTTGTAAAGAGTCAATCACCTCAAAAAATCTAGATTTCAAAATTGTGTTAGATTCATTAAAATGAAAGATGAAACGTTTTCAAGAAAAACTTGCATATGAGATGTAGTTCTCTGTCGCGTCTCTGATGTTGTTCATCGCCTCTTCGACCTTATTGCTGTCGAGCTCGATTCCCCTAGATTGATCGAGGCTATTGTGGAACTTGTGGCTTGTGAAAAGCGTTGAAACTACGAATGTTGTTGTATTGTTTGGAAGGCGTCACATCGCAACCCGTTGCACCAAGGGTAAAGAAATGGCTGAAAAAGGATCGCTCAGATTCCTTGAGGCCAGCTTCGGCTTCCAGGCCTGGCCTTGTCTATTTTCTTTGTCTGCCAATCTCTGATCTTGTGGATTGGCCTTCTCAGCCGCGATACAAGACCTAAACAGCGGCACCAGTGACTCGAAAGTTTGCAAAATCTCGACAGCTCAGCGTTGGCAACCCAACAATGCCCATATTAAGCATGAAACGTTGCGTGCAATTCGTGTTCTTGTGATAGATCGATACTAGAAGACTGTTAAAGAAAGGTAAATTGCATGATTTGGCCTTGAATGCCCAGACCGAATGCCCAATGCGAAAGAGTCAAGTTCTGTTCATTCTAGGCCGAGCCAAAGCCAAGGTTTTAAGCCAATTCAATGGTAAGGCAAATGTCCCACTGGCCTCTCTGGCCTGTGGGATCTGGCCAAGACTTCTCATGGTCGAGTTTTGATCGAATCTGAACAAGATCTAGCCTGATTCTGGTTGAAATTATGCTTATAGTAAGATATTCTTTTGATTCAACAGTCAAAAAAGTCAAATCCGATCAAAACCTGTTCAAAAAACTCACGATCCGTACAATCCTCCCGATTCGTCAAATCCGCATCACCGCAAATGATCCAAAGTAAATAGCTTATCAAAAAAAAGAATTTCCATCGATTTTTCTCATTTTTGAAAACAATCCAATATCGCTCGTGCATAACATAACAAATACGACTTACACAGTTTAAAGCATCACAAACAGCTCTGGAAATAATCACAAAAGGGAACTCTTGACAAAAAAGGAAACGACCGTTGTTATGAGAACAATCGCCAGCAAACAAGAGATATATACTTTATTCATAAAGCGTTGAAAAAGTGGGCAAATAAAGAATCACAGGCCTTGATATGGATTAAAAAAATATCGAATGTTTACAGGAACCAACGAAGCTTGCGAAATTCAAAGCAAAAACATAAGGGTGAGGTTCTTTATGCCATTTGAGAAAGCGAAAAAGGAATTTGTTTGGCGTAAAGTTAAAGGAAGGGCATTTCAAAGTTTTTCTGTATGAAGTTTCAAAGACCCTGACCTTGACAGAAATTTGGACCTAGTAAGACGAAAAGGGCCTCTCATGAAAACTCAACGCTGTTCGAAGAAATAGAAAATAAAATGAGGCCAGATTGGTCACACTTGACGATTTTAAAACATTCAAGAAGGTCAATGACTAACAGCAGGTTAATGGAAAAAAAGGTTCACAAAAAGCAGACCATGGAATATCAAATGTGGGTAATCATTGAAACGAAATCACAAGCAATGAAAGTTCAGGAGAATGGAAAAACCGACAGAATTCTTCGGAAAATCACAATAGGGAAAGAGCAAAATACAAATATACCTATGGATACGATGCGTCAAAATCGATGTAGATGAGCCTGTCCCCCCATGCCCCAATATCCCGCTTGAACTCCACATACGAGCCATGTTTCAGTGGCTTTGAGATCCAGAATCCGATTCTGATATTGAAGCCGAATGAGGTCACGAACAAAGATACCTGAAAATGTAAAATTCTCGCATAGTTGATAAAAAATTAACAACAGAATACCACCATCAACATATTTTTAAGCCTGAATCGTCAATCAATCATGTTATGTAGTTATAAACACTAGTCTAGATAAAAACTTGAAGTCTGGATTTTGTAGCCTATCGTATGGATTTTGTGTCCTATAGTCCTATAGGTAATTTAAAACAGCATACCTTTCTCCGCATCCCACAGCTTCACCACATCATCCGAAGCTGTCACCAAAAGTCCGGAGTCGAGCAATTGCAATGAAGTGATGAGCGACGTATGACCATTTCCGCCATGTAAGTGGTGAAGGCACGAGCCACCCTCACGAATGTCCCAAACCTAAAGAAATGGAAGTAGTTTTCATAGGATTGATTAAACACACCTTAACTTCCGGGTCGTGAGGAATATCGGACATTTTGGAGGCCAAAATGTTTCCGCGTAACTGCACCTTAATAGAAAGGAGCGGTGACCATTCATGCAAGACAAGATGTGTGATGCATGCTGAAAGAAACTAATATAGATGACATTGTAACAGAATAGTGAAAAAGTAAAACGCACTTCCTCTTTGCACATCCCAGACCCGAATCGTTCCGTCACGACTACCCGACACGACAAGATCGCGCTCTGGCTCAAACTAAAACAGAATCCTGCTTAAAGCGAAAATTTGACAATTGAACTCACCAAAAGTGAAGTAACTTCACTTGTGTGACCCGTCAGCGTGTGCAAACACTTTTCCGTGTGTAGATGCCAAACCTAATAGAATATTATAAATTGCACTAATAACTGTATAAACCTTTACGGTACAATCACGGCCATCAAATACAACCCGTATTCCATCAAATTGCAAATAATTCTGAAATTTAACTTTGTTCAAGCCATAACTTTAATACACATACCACATACCACGCCTCGCCAGCCAAAATGTGAAGGCATTTTCCGTCGACAATGTCCCAGACTCGGAGTGTTTGATCCGACGAGCCAGAAACAAGACGAAAACATTACAGTCTTGGCTAAAACAGAAAATTCCAATCACTCACGTTGTGCCATGTAGACGGATGCATCGAATCTCATCCGTATGTCCCCGCAGAACATGAAGCTGTGCACCGGTTTGACCACACAAAACGTCCACCGTTCCACGTTGAAACCCGGTACTGAAATATTACAATAGACTTTGTTCTCATACGAGTTTTTGTTTGATACTTTTTAGCTTCATTGGCAACACTTATGAATTGCACTAGCTATAGTCTATTAGCCAACCTGACAATGTATTTGCCATCTTCGCTCACTTGATACGAATCACCGGGACCGTTCTGGCGAGCTAGATTGAAAGCCGGCAAAATGAAGACGTAAAACAATAGTTAAACGAAACAAACTTGAGCATCATCAACATTCCAGACCTGCAACGTATGATAATCAGAAGTAGTAACAATACGACCAGAGTGAACTTGTATCTCTTCCTGAAAGCGGTGTCCATAGACCTAAAAACAATTTTTATAGCCAAAACATTTATTCAAACCTTTTGGACAGTGCTTGATTGAATCGCTCGGGATCGCCAATTCGAAATGATTCGCTTCTTTCGCAAGTACAGCGACTTCCATGGCGAACGCTCATAACATCTAGAAAACACTTCATTTCGCAATAAGTTAGGTAACTAACTGTCCATATGCGACCTCACGTGCTTGTCGATTCTGCTGTGCTACTTGAAAGTCCATATGTGAACAGATTGTGATTCCCGCTTGCTGTGCTCGATTCGCCGCCCAACCTCCGAGAAAACGAAAACTAAAAAAACGTTTGAGACGAGTCTTTTACAATCGATTTCCTAAATATGAACCAGTTTATCTAAACAAACGTTATCATATGTTTTCTCTCGCCTTATATCATTGTTTGCTTTGGAATCAATAACATTATTATCCTATATTTTACAAGTCTTAAAATCTAGCCTTATAAATCTATCAGATATGTACTTTTAAGTGTTATATTATCGGCTCAAAACTGTAACAAACCTTGGCGCATCAAATTCCACATATCCGTTCTCGAAACATTTCTGTCGCCATGTCTGATCGTCTTCACAAATCCGTTGCCACGTCCGCGAAAGGCCAGCACAAGTCATCAAATCGCGCGGTGTCAGATGGGCGATGATGCGATAAGCAATCTACAATTAAACAATTACTCCCACAGGCTTTGACAAACCTCCTTTGGCAATTGTGATAAGAAGTCCTTTTGGAACAATGGTTGGTTCTCCGGCCTGTTCGACATCTCCCCTAAATGAAAAATTACAGCAGAGATAACACCGTAATTAATAAAAGAAAAAGTCTCGGAATACTAAAAAAATACTATAACTAGCTACCGTAAATACTGTAATATTGAGAAGAATGAACGGATTGAGAAGAATGAAATTTATGGCAAAAAGTTTCTTTAAATATACGAAAGGAGCACGTTTTAGAACGCGCCATCAAGAGGTTTACGGTAGAACCGTAGATTGCTTCAAATTCTGCCGGTAAACTTCACCTTACCTACGAGGATGTACACAAAACCATATTTGGTGGTTATACTTTTCAGAAAGCTCTTTTTCATTTTTAGCACTTCACCCACAAAATACCCTTTTGTGGACATACTGGTAGGCAAGGTGAAGTTTATCGCCAGAATTTATAGCCCCGCTCGGGTGTTGGAGCTACGGGGGCGAAAATTTACTTCTACAAATAAACTTGTCTATTTTCGTGGATAGTTTGAAATTAATTGAAATTTCACAAATTTTGATACATTATATTTATGAGGGAGGACACTCGTACATTCCTAGATTTATTTTGATAGAAAAGAAATCGGAGAAACTCTTTCACTCATCTAAATAATAAAATTGACGCTTACGATTTTAAAACTATTATAATGCCAAAAAATGCATTATAATGCTATTATAATGCAACGTTAGTTGCTTGCCATACTCTATCGAGCATGGGTGTGTTGAAGGTGGGTTTATCAGGATTGGGGAAAACTGCATTATCGCCCCCCACTGAAGAAGTCCCTGCCCTCCGCACACCGCTGTAGCATCGCTCCGCGCGCCCGGATAGAACGCGCCATCTTGTCATGCAGAAGATTGATGATCATTATCTGAAATCTTTTGCCTTAAGATCCTTCTGAATTTCCTATAATTTCTGTAAAATTACAGAAGTTACAATATTTTTCACAATTTTTACAATTTTTACAATTATTTGAAGTTTTAGATTGTTAAATTGGGTAAAAGAAGTAAAAAAAAGAGTATTAGCAAAAGGCAAATTAGATTATGCCATGGAAATTATTTAAAACTAATCTTTAATCTAATAAGTCTAGAATAAGAAAAACTTAAAAAGTAAAAGTAAAAAAATAGTAAAAAGAAAGAGTAAACTCTTCCTTTCGTTGTGAGAATTCGATTCTTTCGATTAATTTTGTTATTAGATTGGTAGCGAAGCAAAAAAACTGATTATTAATTAGAAATTTGAGTCTTTCAATGCATCCGATTGTTTCTTAAAATCGATCCAAAATTATGTAAGCTGAATATCGAAAAATAAAATCAATAAAGCTACTTTATCTTTGTCCGAAATTCTGCATACCGGCAAATTTTGTGAATTCAGAATTTTACCATAAGAGACTGGTGTTGAGTCGATTTTAGCCTTTTCTATCTTTCAATGGATGTAGATAAAGGAATTGAAAAAGTCAGGGTTTTTCCAGAATCCAGGATGAAAAGATGAAAGGCTAATTTTTTAAAAATGAAACACATTTATCAAAAGTCTGGTTAAAAGCCATTACCCTCTGCATTTCTCATTCTCACAAAGTTCCATTTGATTTGTTTATCACTGTTCCCTCGCACAAATGAACTTGGGAATGGGCTCTATTGTCAGTCAGCTGGCCTTTTCCTTTCCTTCCCTTCCACTTTCCTTTCCCTCTAGGCACTCCACTCGAGAAATCGCGTCACACAGCCTAAAAGAACATTTAGCTGACAATCCTAGTTTGTTCTCTGACTTAATTTCAGTTGACAACCTCTATAACTTTCTTAGTTTTTATGTGTTCTCAGTTTCAGTTTTAGTTTTTCTTAGATGATTCTGCAGTAATCCTTATTTTTATCGTTTTCATTGCAGGTTCTGGTTCTTTGACGCGTTTTGGATCTACAGAGATCTATCGGATCTTTGACGCGCTCTGGATCCACATCAACATCATCTACAGAATTCTATCAACTCACTTCGAAGGATCTAGCTCAGCAGGAAGTCAATGGAGATGACTTTTGTTTATTTCTCCTGTCTCCAAGTCAATTTTCTAATTCATTCTTACTTCTAGAATCTTGATTTAACCTTAAAAAGTTGAGAATCCAAGCAAAAAACTAATCTAAACCCAATTTAAACTAAAATTAAGATTCCTGAGAACCGCTTTTGAAGTTATTTAATTAATATGATCATGTTTAAGACAAATAGGTAAATCTCAGAGTTGCTATTCTTGCTAAGAAACATTTCAGTTTTCCAGAAATATCAGTTTAGCCATTTACCAGTCATTTCCTTGTTTCTCTGCCCCTAAAAATCCAAAACTCCAATCAAATCATGCCCGTTGTTAAATGTTGGAAAGAAATCCCGCTCTTTCCTTTTCCTGGGCGTCACTACGCTTTTTTGTTTTTTCTTTTTCCCGTTTCCTGGCCTAGGGTCAGCGCTGTTATGCTCAATCCCTTTACGCCTGAGACTCCTTTGATTTCTAGGGATAACATTCTTTGGAAACTTTTGAAATTGATTTCCTGGAACGCACACTTGACATTCCCAGTGTTTCTAGAAGCTTTGACAATTTTTGAAAGATTTAAATTATCAGCATTTCTCCATCAAAGCAAATCTTTTTATTTTTCTAGGAAATTTATTTTTTGGAAAGTAAATTTAGCCAAGCTGGAATGCACAAAAGGCTATAAAATCGAATTTTGCTATTTTTTGGCATTTTTGAACATTCGGTTTTTTCAGATTTCTGGATCAACATCAATATTCTCGTTTTTCTGAGAAACTAATTTTTTTGGAAAGGAAATTTAGCCAAGCTGGAATGCACAAAAGACTATAAAATCGAATTTTATTAAAAATTTTTATTTTTAAAAAGCTTTAAAAACTCGATAAGCGATTTCATCGCCACTGACTCATCCTATCAAAAGACTAAAAAACAGAGAAAAAAAAATCGTGATCGTCTGTGTCGACTGTTTGTTTTTTTTGTTTTGTCTGTCTGATAGTGAGAGGGGACACGGAGGAGACAATTCCGACTATTTGTCATGTTTTTTGATTTAGAGACGAGACTGACCCCCTAGAATCGAGAATATCGCAAAAAAACGAAAACTAAAGAGTTTTTCGTCTTTCCTGGATATCACATTACAGTTTTTTAAAGTCGGAACGGTTTTTGGTAGGATTTAAAATCTTTCACCTACTTAGGATCGAGACTGGCCCCATAGAAGCAAGAATTTTAAAGAAAAGCTCAAAGCAAAACTTTTTTCGTCTTTCCTGGATATCACACTAATTTTTTTAAAAGTCTATTCCACTTTTAGGATTTAAAAAAGCTTCAGCTTTTCAGTACTCTCCTTTGAGGATCTGATGTCGACGAGATTCTCGAAATTTCTGTGTCGACTCGTTTCTCAGTGTTACACTTTCACTTTTGGCCCTTTTTTTGAAATGTTTGTGTCCCAGGATGGATAGCAACACCACCAAAAAAGCCAAAGAAGGAAAAAAAGAAAAAGGGGCTTTCTTCTCCACTCAGGATCTGGACCTAAACCGAGCCCACGATTTTTAACGCTACATCCAAATTTTTCTTTCTATTCTCCATTGTGACATCCAGGATCAGTGAATTCGTTGTTAGAATGCTAGAAAGTTGATCGGGTAATGGCTTAAGTCACTGGAGCCGTTGTGATGATGATTCGACAGTCACGATTCGTGTCTTTGAATCCGATTTTCTTTTCTCGTTCGCTCTCGTGCCTTCCAGGATTTACGGGTTTAGTATTTGTTTCAGCGTTGAAACAGTTTTTTCTTTCATTTAATACCCAGCTATATATCACGATTCGACAGTCACAATTCGTGTATTTGGATTCGATTTTCTTTTCTCGTTCGCTCTCGTGCCTTCCAGGATTTACGAAATCGTTAATAGATTTAGAAGCCTTTCTAAAACGCACCTTTTTAATCGTACGGGGTAGGCAAGAAAACAGATCGGTTTTTTGCGGTTTTAGCTGAATTTTTATGTGAATTCTCAATGTGTAAATTTGCTTTTTCTTTATTGAATTCATCTATTTGTACTTGAAATTTATATATTTATACCCGTTTCCTGAATTACACCTTTTCGCTGATCGGGGTACGGTAGCTGAAGCGCACTTTAGAAAACAGGTTTTGTGATTTTGGTGATTTACTTTAAATTTCTCTTTCTATTTACCATTTAGACATCCAGGATTGGCGAATTCGTTTCCAGAATCCTAGAAAGTTGACCCACTGATCGGGGTACGGTAGCTGGAGCTCACTTTAGAAAACAGGTTTTGCGATTTTGGTGATTTACTTTAAATTTCTCTTTCTATTCTCCATTGTGACATCCAGGATTGGCGAATTCGTTTCCAGAATCCTAGAAAGTTGATCGACTGATGGTTTAAGTCACTGGAAAGCGTTTGATCCGTTTTCGACGCGACGATTCGGGTCTTCGGATCTGATTTTCTTGCCGCGTTCACTCTCATGCCTTCCATGATTTACAGATTTAGTCTTTTTCTCAGCTTTGAAACAGTCTTTTCTTTCATTTAATAGCCAGCTATGTATCATTGTGAATGGTTTTGTTTGAACAAACACTCGACTCTCATGAACCGTGTTCCCATCAACCCTGGAATTGCTCCCACTTCAACAATCGTAAAAAGCTCAAGTCTGGAACATATTTTAAAGCAAAAAGGTTTCAGAAGGGGCTTCCGAAGCCAAGAGACTCGAGAAAATCCTTCATTTTCTCGGTTTTGAATTTTGAAAAGATTCAATTTACACTTTTTTGAACTAATTTTTGTTTAAAAAGCTAAAATGACCTCCAGCTTTGAGAATTAATTTGAAAAATTTTAGTTATCAAAAGAAAAAATAGCTTAAGACTAGAGCAAAGATTTTTGCATTTCGAAAAAAATTCCGTCTACACTTTTTTGAACTAATTTTTGTTTAAAATGCTAAAATGACCTCCAGCTTTGAGAATTAATTTGAAAAATTTTAGTTATCAAAAGAAAAAATCACAAAAAACCACAGCAGAAAATTTCGCAATTCTCAAGATTCAAAAATTGACTAAAAAAGCTGTTCAAAAATGTTTGAAATCGCTAACATGTTTTCCAGCTTTTCTGAAATAGAAAAAAGTCTGCAAAAATAATGGGTCTTTCGGGGGGAATCGGGAGAATCGAGGGAATCGAGTGAGCAATCGATCCACGACCACTCCCACCGCCCAACACCGTCCCTTTTCCCTTTTATCCATCCCGGAAAGTGGATTTTCTCAGCAATCCGGAGAATTACCTTGGATTTACATTGGGAACTCTCTGAATTACTTTAAAATTTGAATTTCGTTGAATTCGGTTCTCAAGTCTTGCACTCCGACTCCAACTCTGACACTTTTTTTCCTCAACTTCAAATTTTATAAATTTTCTTTTTCTTTCTGTATGAATCTCTTCTGTGCATTCCAGCATTGATTTTTATCGAAAAAAAATTTGCAAATTGCTTTTGATCTGCAGCAGATCGGCTCCAAAATCGTTTTTACCGATTCCAACTTTTTTCTATTCCTAAATCATCAAGTTTTTCTTGTTCAAAACACACCTGTGCGTGCCAGGATTGATGTTTTACAAAAAATCTACACAAAATGACTTTCATTTTTGCGTTCATCAGGTCAAAAATCGTTTCTTGTTGTAGGCTTAACAACGAAAATTCAATTTTCAGAGTTTTTCCCCTTTTCGTCATTTTCTATTTTTTCGATATTTCTTTTTCTCCTGAATTTCCCAGGATCACCTATAAATTTCCCATAATCCACTCGGCGGACCTGAAAAAAATAGTCATTTGCCGTCCAATAATTGAGTTTTTCTCTTCACAGCCGACTCCAATGAAGCCATTTCCCCAGAAATAACTTTATGGATATATTTTTCGTTATTCAGCTTACATGACCTCCAGCTAAGAGATCTAGTTGAAAAAAAATTACATTTAACCCAAAAATTCGGGCTCAAACCTCCCTTGTACGTAACGCTCCAAATTGCACTGTCCCATTTTTCACCGATTTGTCTGAATTTTTCGAGATTTAGCTTACATGACCTCCAGATTAGAGATTTAGCTTGAAAAAATGTGCATTTAACTCCAAAATTTGGCCCTAAACCTCCCTGGTACGTAACGCTTCAAATTACGACTTCCCATTTTTCCCCAGTTTGTTTATATTTTTCGATATTCAGCTTACATGACCTCCAGATAAGAGATTTCATTTAAAAAAATTACATTTAAGCCCAAAAAATAGCCCAAAACCTCTTCGGTACGTCACACTAGAACGGGCACCATCGATTTTTTGCTCATTTTTTGAAAATTTTCTTAAATTATCCCCCGTGCGCTCCAGATTTCCCAGAAGATAACGATTTTCGGTGAAAAAATGCGCCGAAATGGGGAAAAATAAGCTTTATTTATTTGGGTGAGACGCTGATAAAGATGCTTAGAGTCCGTTTCTCTAAAATAGCCTCATTTTGTAGAATTTTTTGTTGTTGTCTAAGCTATTTAAACAGTTTAAAAGGGATTACGGTATGTTGTCGTAAATGCTAGCCGTCGATCAGCTATCGTAATCTCATCGTAATCTCATCGTAAAGCTACCAAATCGTAAAGCTACCAAAGTAGCATCGAAAATTTCAGAATCTATCTTATTTTCTCGGCTTTTTCGATTGCCAATCTGTATTCTGGAAGTCACAGCCGAGAATCACGAGTGAAGAAATCGAGAAAATCGTCTTTGAATTGATTTGAAATTTTATCTCTTTCCCAATATCACGAGTCTTTTTTTTTTGACTGAAATCGACTAAATAACGATTTAATTTTTCGCTTTTTCTTTTTCAATCATTCCCTAAACCAAAAGATTCTTTGTTTAAATCCTAAAATGTTTTTTTGAGATGCAGAAAAGACACTACAGGGTACTAATGACACTGTAAAGTGTCATCAGTACCCGTCCGATTGTACAGCACCCTTAAACATTTTAAACCCTACCCTGAGCCCAGAAAACGTTGTCAAACGCTGAGTTGTGCTCCAGATTAAAGCTTGAACGATCTTTTTTATAATCAAAATCAAAAAAATACCCATCATCTCACCTGTACTCTTTCGGTTGCTTTACCCAATTTTTACAATTAAATCAAAACGCGAAACTTTATTATAAAATATCTTAAATGCAATCCAGATTGCAGCTTGAAAGCAAAAAGAAGGCAAAAATCGAATCCCAAAGCAAAATTTTCCTCCAGCTACATTTCTCGACTTCAAGTCTAACACTTTTTAAATGATTTTTTTTTTGTTTTGACAAATTCTATTTTGTTTTCTCTATTTCATCAAAATTTATGGCTTGATTTGTGTTTTTTTCTTTTGTCTTTCGAAATTTTTGAATTTCAGATAAAATTCTTGATTTTTTTCGATTTTCCCTCAAGAATTCCCACAATTTCCATTGATTTTTGTCCAAAAATTTTTCAAAATCCTAGAAAATTTCAGAAAACATCGATGTGATAGCCATAAAAGAGAAAGGAAAAACTTTTGCTCAGCTCAGCTCAAGAAATGTCTCGAAAAACCGACTCTGACGCCGAGGAGAGGGAGCATTTGTTGGGAGTGGGAGATGACGGACTCCGCAAAAGCAGCTCCTCTAGATTTCAGGTGGGCAAGTCAATCTGGATGTCACAGAAGGGGTTACGGTGGAGATTAGCAAGATTTGTAAAAGTTTTAGCATAGGCTTACGGTACTTGATCCACTCAGCTGGGGGTTTTATCGTAGTTTAACCTGGATCCTCTTTTAAACAAATAGGGTTTATGTTATCTGGATGTCACAGAAGGGGTTACGGTAGAAATTGGTGGAATTTGAAAAAGTTTTAGCAAAGGGTTACGGTACTTGATCCACTCAACTGGGCTTTTATCGTAGTTTAACCTGGAACCTCTTTTAAACGAATAGGATTTATGTTATCTGGATGTCACAGAAGGGGTTACGGTAGAATTTGGTGAGATTTGAGAAGGTTTTAACATAGGATTACGGTACTTGATCCACCAAATGTTCAGCTAAGGCTTTGCGGCATTTTTGCTTGAAATTCCTCTTGGAAAAGTGAGAATCGTCTTAACTGGATGTCACAGAGGGGTTTACGGTAGAGATTAACAAGATTTGTAAAAGTTGTAGCATAGGGTTACGGTACTTGATCCACTCAACTGGGGTTTTTATTGTAGTTTAACCTGGAACCTCTTTTAAACGAATAGGATTTATGTTATCTGGATGTCACAGAAGGGGTTACGGTAGAACTTGGTGAGATTTGAGAAGGTTTTAACATAGGATTACTGTACTTGATCCACGAAATGCTCAGCTAAGGCTTTGCGGTATTTTTGCTTGAAATTCCTCTTGGGAAAGTGAGAATCGTCTTAACTGGATGTCACAGTAAGGGTTACGGTAGAAATTAGCAAGATTTGTAAAAGTTTTAGCATAGGGTTACGGTACTTGATCAACTCAACTGGGTTTTTATCATAGTTTAACCTGGATCCTCTTTTAAACAAATAGGATTTATGTTATCTGGATGTCGCAGAAGGGGTTACGGTAGAAATTGGTGGGATTTGAGAAAGTCTTAAGATAGGGTTACGTTACTTGATCCACAATAGTTTAGCTAGCTAATATTTATTCAATTTTGGCTTCTCTACAAAAATTAAGTTCATAACTATGAAGATCATTCTATTTTTAAAAAGGTATCTAGATTTTAGGGTTTAAAAAAACCCTAGATATCTAAAAGACCTAAATATCTAAAAGACCTAGAGATCTAAAAGACCTAAATATCTAAAAGACCTAAATATCCAAAAGACCTAGATATCTAAAAGACCTAAATATCTAAAAGACCTAGATATCTAAAAGATATCCAGATATTTTTTAAATCTTTAGAGATCCTTGAAGCTAATCTTTAAAGACATTCCCCTTTTTTTTTGCTCCTATCACTTTCTTATCGAATCTCTTTGATATTTGAGTTTTCTTCGTAAAGAGTTCGATCTCAAATTTTGACGTCACAACCTTACGGTCTTTTGGGATGGGTTTTTTTTTTGAGGAATTGAGAATTACGAATTACAAATCTTGGATCCTAGATCTTGGATCTTAGATCAACTTTTAACTTTGACTTTTTGAATCGAATTCTATGCTGTTTCAAAAAGGATTTTAAAGGGTATAAATAGTGAAAAGATTCGACGAAAATTGGGATAATTTTACGAATTTGGAGATTAGAATAAGGAAAAAGGGATATCGTTTTAGGAAAAAAGGCATCGTTTTAGGAAAAAGATTAGAATAGAGGAAAAGGATTCGAATAGAGGAAAAGATTTGGACTTCTTCAGTGCCTTGAGCTTTCATTTATCGCAGTTTATCTTCCCATGTTTATTCCCATCAATTTGTCATCACTTTTTTTCTTTCCCCATTTCCCGCCTTCTTCATGTTTTTTTTTTGTTGCTCTATGTACTCGATTCCCTTTTTTTCTTTTCAAATTCGAAAACATTCCCCTTCCTTTCCATCTTGGATCCTTTTTATCGTCTTCTTCTTTTATTTTCTTCTTTTATTTTCTCTTTTCAGCTTTGCCCACTTTCTATCGTTGCCCTTGGCCACATGTGCCTCTTTTTCTCTTTGAGATTTTGAATCTTTTAGCTTTTGGATGAGCTTTTGCATCAGCTTTTAATAGCTTTTGCATCTTCTGATTCTTTCCAGCACTAAAAGAACATTCATTTTCTGTTGTTTTAACAAAACTTGATCAAATCTGGATTCTTATCTGGTTTTCTTAGAAAAGCTCTTGAGTTTGTCTCAAAATCTAAAAATCCCAATAACTTTAATTCATATCAGCTTCAAAATGATCCAAAGTACTGAGAGATGTAAGTTTCTTAGTAAGTAAGTAAGCAAGCAGCTAAGTAAATAGTAAGTGTGTAAGCCAGTAAGTAAGTAAGTAAGTAGGTAAGTAAGTAAGTAAGTAAGTCAGTCAGTAAGTAAGTCAGTCAGTAAGTAACTCAGTCAGTCAGTAAGTAAGTAAGTAAGTAAGTAAGTAAGTAAGTAAGTAAGTAAGTAAGTAAGTAAGTAAGTAAGTCAGTCAGTAAGTAAGTAAGTCAGTAAGTAAGTCAGTAAGTAAGTAGGTAAGTAAGTAAGTAAGTCAGTAAGTAAGTAAGTAGGTAAGTAAGTAGGTAAGTAAGTCAGTAAGTCAGTAAGTCAGTAAGTAAGTAAGTAAGTAAGTAGGTAAGTAAGTCAGTAAGTCAGTAAGTAAGTAGGTAAGTAAGTAAGTAGGTAAGTAAGTAGGTAAGTAAGTCAGTAAGTCAGTAAGTAGGTAAGTAAGTAGGTAGGTAAGTAAGTAAGTAAGTGGGTAAGTAAGTAAGTGGGTAAGTGGGTAAGTGGGTAAGTGGGTAAGTGGGTAGGTAGGTAAGTAGGTAGGTAAGTAGGTAAGTAGGTAAGTAGGTAAGTAGGTAAGTAAGGTAAGTAGGTAAGTAGGTAGGTAGGTAGGTAAGTAGGTAAGTAGGTAAGTAGGTAAGTAGGTAAGTAAGTAAGTAAGTTTCCTTTTCTCAGTCTTGATTGGATAAAAATTTGGAAAAAATTTGTAACCAGTTGATGTTTGTTAATCGTTCAAATCTTTCAAATTCTTAAAGAACCAGAGCCAAACCAGAGCTGAAATTCGGTTATAAAGTAAGAAGAAATCGCAGATTAAATTGTTTCTTTCAAAAATCTGCGATTCCCTAAACATTTCCCCGTCCATTTTTTCGTTTCTGAATTCAAAATTTCCAAAATATTCCCATTCTTAATAATTTTACTGAAATAAAAACGTCAGAAACATGTTTTCGAAGTCTTTTTTTATCCCAAAACCTCCGTAAAAATCAATTTTTGCGATTTTTTTTGAAGAAATTAAATGAACACCGCTTCACTCCTTTCCCGCCTGTTCTCCCTTTCTCCCTTTGTTGTCCACTTTGCCAAAACAACCGAAATGCAAAAATTGGCGATAAGCAATAGCTGCAATGACTCCCAGCTTCTACAAATAAATCAAAATTTTTCGGAAAAATTGACATTTTACCCAGAAAAACTGTCCAGCCTTTATTCAGTCGAAAATGAAAAATTTAAATTTGCATTTATTTTTGAATTTCTTTCGTTAATGTCTCTTGTGCCTTCCAGAATAATCATTTTTTTAAAAATTATGAAATTTGCATGTAAAATTTCCGTGAAAATACTATGAACAGAAAAAGGCACTTTTAAACAAATTTCAAATCTTTTGCTAGCTTAATATTCGTGCACCATGATCAAGTGTGCGTTCCAGCTAGCCGAAATTCCGGGACTAAAGACCCGGGGATGTCTGGGTGGGCCTGGGAATAGCCGGGGATCAATTGTTGTGTCCCCGTCCCCCCTCGTCTCATCCTCCCATTGCGCCCCTTCCCCCCTTTCCATTCCTCATCGATACCCACAAGTGAACACCAGCGAAAAGGGCAAAAAGAGACCACCAATGTCTTTGCTGGATAGCACGAGGCCCAACTGGGATGAGAAAGAAATGAGAAAGCAGCGTTGGTCCCAAGTTTTCACTCAAAGTCGATCCAGCTCTGACACCTCTTCACCAAAATCAAAAAATTCCTATTTTTTTGTGTTAGAATTGTCTTGTGCATTCCAATTTGTTATTTAATTTAAAATTTAAAACAAAAAAGCTCAATTTGGCCAAAATTTTGACTCAAAGTCGATTCAGCTCTAACACCCCTTCACCAGAACCAAGCAATCCCTATTTTTTTTGTGCTAGAAACGTTTTGTGCATTCCAATTTGCTATTTGATTTAAAATTTAAAACAAGAAAGCCCAATTTGGCCAAAATTTTGACTCAAAGTCGATCCAGCTCTGACACCCCTTCACCAAAATCAAAAATCCCTATTTTTTTGTGCTAGAATTGTCTTGTGCATTCCAATTCACTATTTGTTTTTTAGAAATCTTCAAAAATCCAAATCTAGAATAGAAATAGTGATCAATGGAAATTGTGGCCACAATTTTTTTGCTATTTTCCCCATCACAAATACCCTTTCAGAAAAGTCATTTCGGCCTTCAAGTGGCTTTTTTGTTTTCCTTTTTTTTCTCCTCATTTAGATCTAATATCGGTCGTTGGCCTTCTTTTTCCTTAATTTCCTCAATTTCTTAATTCAAATTGTTATTTTTCGAGTATTCAAAGGGAAACAAAGCCGAAAATGGAAATTTCTCTTTCAAATTTCTTTCAAATTTCTTCCAAATCTTCGAGTTTTCAATCGAACCCTCAATTCTGGAGGTTTAAAAAGCAAAGGTTTAACGAGGAACTTTTGGCATAAAGCAGCGAAGCCATTCATTTTATCGATTAAAGCCATTCATTTTATCTGAAAGTTTTATATCGCATTTTATATAGGATTTTATATCAGATTAGCCACTGTGCGATCCAGGATTTCGTTTAAAATCAAAAATGCTTTAGTAGAATGAAAATAAAAGCGCAAATTTGTGTGAACAAAAAAACAAAAGTGCAGAAAGAGTCAAATTTGACCTTTTCATTGCCATAAAAATGAGGAAAACGGGGTTACGAATTCGTTTTGCGTTCTTTTCTTTAAGGATTCGAAAAGGGAAGCCTTATATACCGAGTTCCCATTTGGTTCCTATTAGGTTCATATTTGGTTTCTTTTTGGTTCCCATTCGATGCGTGATGCTCCAATTCGGTTCCCATTCAGCTCCCATTCGGTTCCTATTGGGTTCTAATTTGGTTAGCATTCAGCTCCCGTTCGATTCACATCCGGTTTCTATTCGGTTCCAATTTGGTTCCTTTTTGGTTCCCCATACGGTTCCAATTCGGTTCCTATTCGGCTCCCATTCAATTTCTAATCGGTTCCTATTTTCCATTCGGTTTCAATTTAGTTCCCATTCGGTTCCTTTTCGGCTGCCATTCAGTTCCTATTCGGTTCCAATTTAGTTCCCATTGACTCCCATTCGGTTCCGATTCGGCCCCCATTCGCTTCCGATTCGGCTCCCATTCGCTTCCAATTCAGTTCCCATTCAGTTCCTTTTCGGCTGCCCTTCGGTTCCCATTGGGCTCCCAATCAATTCCTAATCGGTTCCTATTCGGCTCCCATTCGATTCCTAATCGGTTCCTATTCGGTTTCCATTCGGTTCCGATTCAGTTCCCATTCGGCTCCCATTCGGTTCTTTTTCGGCTCCTATTCGATTCCCATTGGGCTCCCATTCGATTCCTAATCGGTTCCTATTCGGTTTCCATTCGGTTCCGATTCAGTTCCCATTCGGCTCCCATTCGGTTCCTTTTCGGCTGTCATTCGGTTCCTATTCGGCTCTAATTCGCATCCAATTCAGTTCCCATTCAGTTCCTATTCGATTCCTAATCGGCTCCCATTCGGTTCCTTTTCGGCTGCCATTCAATTCCTATTCGGTTCCAATTTAGTTCCCATTGGCTCCCATTCGATTTCGAATCGGTTCCTATTCGGTTTCCATTCGGTTCCAATTTAGTTCCCATTGGGCTCCCATTCGATTCCTAATCGGCTCCCATTCGATTCCTAATCGGCTCCCATTCGATTCCTAATCGGCTCCCATTCGATTCCTAATCGGTTCCTATTCGATTCCTAATCGGCTCCCATTCGATTCCTAATCGGTTCCTATTCGGTTTCCATTGGGTTCCAATTCAGTTCCCATTCGATTCCTAATCGGCTCCCATTCGGTTCCTTTTCGGCGGTCATCCGGTTCCTATTCAGTTCCAATTTAGTTCCCATTCAGCTCCCATTTGGTTCTTTTTCGGCTCCTATTCGATTCCTAATCGGCACCCATTCGGTTCCAATTCAGCTCCCATTCGGTTCTTTTTCGGTTCCCATTTTTTCATTTTCAATTCAATCCTGAAACGCATATAGCGTTTAATTGTGATCCATTTCTGGTTATTGTGGAGAATTTGGGCATAAAGCGGTGAATCGTTTGAAGCCATTCAGTTTAAAGCAAAGTTTTGTTTTAGTTCGCATTTTAGATCGTATTTTACATCAGTTTAGCTACTGTGCTATCCAGTATTTTGTTTGAAATCCAAAATGCTTTAGTAGAATGAAAATAAAAGCGCAAATCTGTGTTAATCAGATACAAAAGTGCAGAAAGAGTCGAATTTGGCTTTTTCATTGCCATAAAACTGAGGAAAACGGGATTTCGAATTTGTTTTGTGTTCTTTTCTTTAAGGATTCGAAAAGGGGAGCCTTATATACCAAATTCTAGAAGAATCGGCATTTCTTATTATCTTTAAAATTTCAAAATTGTGATTCAGTAAAGAAAAATTGATCAAATCACTCTTTTTGCCCATTTCTCGAATTTTATTTTTGCATTTTCGTGCAATTTTCTTTTCTGCTGACTTCCAAAAGAACAAATTTCGTTAAATATTTGAAAAACTAAAGAAATTACCTTTCGAAAATGACCTTTTATACCTCTTCCATCAATTTTACCATCTTGAAACTTTCTCCACCTGTAAACCTGGTCTTTTTCTCGATCTTCCCAATTTTCTTTACTTGATTTCAGAAAACTGGACATCACCCTAGCTTTTGGTGACTTTATTTGTGACCCTATTGCCATTTGAAAATTTTCCTTGGGATGAGCTTCACCCAGCTCTCACTACCACATAACGACACCGTACCCGAGTTCGCCAAAAAGCGGAAAGACTCGAGATTTCAGGTTTTTGCTTGGGAAACTGACTCGAAAGCGATTTTGGGGACTTATCTCGGCAGAAATACGTGAAACTTTTATAGCTGTCTTATTCAATCTGAGTTTCGTGAGAAAAGCAAGTGTCATGCAACGAATTCGCCCAAACAAACTTTAAATTTGTCTGATCTGGATTTCACCTAAGATTTCCAGTGAAATAGATTTTTGAATTACGGGAAAATAAACTTTTGGGTTACGGTAGTTGGAGGTGTTGTTTAATAACAAGTGCCAGGCAATGAATTCACCCAAATAAACTTTAAATTTCTCTTATCTGGATGTCACATAAGATTTTTAGTGAAATAGTTTTTGAATTAGAGAAAAATAAATTTTCCGGGTAGGTAGTTGGAGGTGTTATTTAATAAAAAGTGCCACGTAACGAATTCATCGAAATAAACTTTAAATTTGCCTTACCTGGATGTCACGTAAGATTTCTAGTGAGACAGATTTTTAAATTACGGGAAGATAAATTTTTGGGGTACGGTAATTGAAGGTGTTGTTTAGCGTTTTACTGTAGTGTTTAGGTAGGTAGATAGAGCTTGGAAATTGTTGAATTTGTAAACTTTTTCCAAATTGATTCAATTTCAGGTGTCTTTGACAGCAAATGGAGGTGAAGATTCGGGCACTGAGGAGCTGCAAGATCATCAGGGAATCCGGAAGAATAAGAGTGTCTCCGAGCCACCACCGCCGATTCGATCGATCCAGGAAAGGAAAGCCAGCTCGACTGGGAGATTTGTGGTGAGTACAGAGTCCCTGTAGAAATGCTGGGAACTTTGATAGCTTTCTTTTTGATCTCTTTCTTCTTTGATAGCTTTCAATTTTGTTTCCCTGAGGAAAACAAGTGTCACGTCAAGAATTCACCGAAATAAGCTTTAAATTTCTCTTATCTGGATGTCACATAAGATTTTTAGTGAAATAGATTTTTGAATTAAAAGAAAATAAATTTTCGGGGTACGGTAGTTGAAGGTGTTGTTTAATAACAAGTGCCAGGGGACGAATTCACCCAAATAAACTTTAAATTTGTTTGATCTGGATGTCACAGAAGATTTTCAGTGAAATAGATTTTTGAATTACGGGAAATAAATTGTCAGGGTACGGTAGTTGGAGGTGTTGTTTAATAACAAGTGTCGCGTAACGAATTCATCCAAATAAACTTTAAATTTGTCTGATCTGGATGTCACAGAAGATTTTCAGAGAAATAGATTTTTGAATTAAAAGAAAATAAATTTTTGGGTTACGGTAATTGAACGCGTTGTTTAGCCTTTTTAGAATCTACCGTAATTTTCGTTTTACCAGTATCTTAAAAGTAAATTTCATTGTAAATCTGGATTTCATTGAGATTTTTAGGTAAACGGCGGCTCCGAAAGTCACTCGGATGGCAAGGACGAGTCGACGCCTGAGGACGACGAAGCGCCGGTGGGTTCTTGGATCGAAATTTCGGCAAGCTGCCAGGAAATCCATTTTCCCAAATTCCCACTCTTTGTCCTGGAGCACACGCTAGCCTTTAAAGCATTCAGAAAACGAAAGTCGCGAATTTTGGCTTCATCGATTGTAGCAAGCGCTTCTTGACCTGACCTGGTCTTGACTGGCACCAAAATTTCGCTAACTTTCCTGAAAATCTCTTTTCCCTGATTGATCATCCTGGAAGTCACGCTAGCCCACAAAACGATCAAGAATGCGAATGCGCAAAATTCGAGTTTATTGAGAAAACCTAGCTGACGGACTGGCACCGAAATTTTGCCGATTGGTCTTAAAAAAGTCATTTTCCTCGATCACATTGTTCATCCTGGAACTCACGCTAGCCCTCAAAACGATCAAAAATAAAAAAAGCACGAATTTTGAGCTTTCCAAGAAACTCGATTGTGCCAGCTGGTTGATGATTATCAAAATTCCGTCAAAAAAATCACGTTTTTCATATTTTTGGCTTTCATCCTGGAACTCACGAAAAGCGTTAAAAGGACTAAAAACGGGAAATTGTGAAATTTGAGCCTATCGCAAAAATTTCCTCTTTTCTGGAAACGACTTGAGTAAATGAAGGTTTTTCAGTTTTTCGGCTTCTTCTGTTTTTCGTTTTTTCAATTTTTCAAATTTTAACTTCAAATGATTCAAAAATGCTAGAAAAATCAAATTTGAGTTTTTTTTTTGATGAAAACCTTGATATTCAGCTGTCAATTTTCACCAGTCAGGTGATTTTTTGAAGAAATATTTAAAGAAAAGTAATTTTTATATAAAGCTGAGATCTTTTGCTAGAGTTCTTCTAGAGATTTTTCTTTCCGATCAAATCAGAATCCAGCTCGCTTTCCACCTCACCTAGCCTTTCCAGGACTTGATTTACAACCTGGTCGAGCTGGATTCCGATCAAATCAGAATCCAGCTCGCTTTCCACCTCACCTAGCCTTTCCAGGACTTGATTTACAACCTGGTCAAGCTGGATTCCGATCAAATCAGAATCCAGCTCGCTTTCCATCTTACCTAACCTTTCCCGGACTTGATTTAGAACCTGGTCTGGCTGGATTCCGATCAAAGCAGAATCCAGCTCGCTTTCCATCTTACCTAACCTTTCCCGGACTTGATTTAGAACCTGGTCTGGCTGGATTCCGATCAAAGCAGAATCCAGCTCGCTTTCCACCTCATCTAACCTTTCCCGGACTTGATTTACAACCTGGTCCAGCTGGATTCCAATTAAATCAGAATCCAGCTCGACGCTGGCCTTAAGAATTAGGCAGCTCGCCAAGCCAAGCCAGCTAACTCTTGCTTGGCTTCCCTTCCAACAAATCCATTTCAATTCTCGTTCAGGTGATGGGCATGCGTCGTGGCGTTCACTTTTCCGTCGGCGACAAAAACGACGAAAACCCGGACCACAAAATGACCACCCATGAAGAAAGAGAGGGACAGCACACATTCAATTTGAAGAGCTGGAGGTGAATAGAAAGTGGTGAAAAAGAGTTTGACGTTTAAGTTGGAACGCACAACAGGCTTTAAGCTCATCTAAATAGGGGCTTTCACCGAAGTTCTCACTTCCGGAATTTCAAGGTATCTTCTCGGAGACGAAATTTCGAAATTTCGAATGAAATCTAGGGTTTTAAACGTATTTTCTGCGATCCTGGAAGTCATTCTAGGGTTTCTAATAGATTTGATCGCTTTCAGAATCAATTTCACAATTCCGGAATTTCAAGGTATCTTCTCGGAGCTGAAATTTCGAAATTTTAAATGAAATCTAGGGTTTTAAACGTATTTTCGGTGATCCTGGAAGTCATTCTAGGGTTTCTAATAGATTTGATCGCTTTCAGAATCAATTTCACAATTCCGGAATTTCAAGGTATCTTCTCGGAGACGAAATTTTGAAATTTCGAATGAAATCTAGGATTTTAAACGTATTTTCTGCGATCCTGGAAGTCATTCTAGGCTTTCTAATAGATTTGATCGCTTTCAGAAACATGAAAACGATCGAGCATCCACCGATCATCGATTTCTATCGGGATTCGATTGATGTCGTTGACGTGAATCGACCCTCGATGGCTCAGCTCATCCATGGCCAAAAAACGATCAATGAGGAGATTCTGGAGATCGACGAGTTCAGGGTTAGTGTTTCTTTGTTTTTCAATGGCTTTCTCACGTAGAGCATCTTTCCGAGTTGTTTTCGAAATGTTGACCCAAGTACCGTAATCCTTTTGGCCTTCCAATTGAAATCCTAAATGTTTAAAGAAATAAAAAGACGCTGTGACATCCAGAACATCCAGATTTGTCTTTGGAACTTGATGTACTTTGTGTTCGCAAGATTTTATGGAAGTAAACTCTTTCTGGTGCACTTAATTCACGGGATTACGGTATTTGAGTCAATATTGAAGGGTATTCTCTTAAAATAAAGAATGATTTGATAAAGGCTGCAAGGAGAATGTTGATTTTGGGAATTGAGTGGGTTAGGAAGGATGACGAAGATGATGAATGACGCTTTGTGACCAAGATCACTTTTTAAACCTCTACAAGAAGCCAAGACACCAAATTCCTTAGTGATCAACTTTTGATTTGAATTCCTTTTCAGGCTCAAGCTTACGATATGATTGATCAAGGTGGACCGCCACCAAAACCCGAGAAAATCGAGAAGTTAGCCCCGCCACCATCAGCGCCAAGGTATGATCGCTAGCTAGCAAAGCTAGTTAGCTTTGCTCGCTATTTGCTTAGGCTTAGGCTAGCTAGCTAGCTAGCAAACGCCAAGCAAATAAATTAGCTAGCTAGCAAACGCCAGGCTTATTCCCAAAATTTCAGCAAGTATAAATGAGCTTTATAATCTCTATTTTTAGCCGAAAAACACGGGGTTTTTGTTACAAAGAAGCTGTATTTCAAAAAAAGAATTTCTTTTTGGTGTCATCTTCTTGGCACTAACTAGAGAATGTTGTTAACTTATCTATCGTTATCTATCGTGGCTTTTGACTCGGTGAAATTGCCTATTTGATGCAGTTTTTCACGCTGATTCCGAATCAGCGCTCAGTTTTTGCCAAACGTTTCTATCGCGAGATATTCGGCATACAAGTTTTTGGGGGCCACCGCGGCCGTTGACTGAAGACAGCAAGCCCTCATAAAGTCTTCGATCGTCCGGAGCCCTCGATCGAGTATTTCTAGGCCGTAGAATCTAAGATTTGACATAACAGAGCTTATGAAAACAATTTTAAAGACAAAACGAATGGGTTGATGAATTGGTTTTTGAGAAATCATCGTGTAAACATGCAAACTGTTCGGAATAGGATGTGTCCATATCCCTTGGTTCAGGCAGAATATTTATTAAAGCACCGAAGGGTTTAAATACCGAAAAGTTGAACACGATGATTACACCTTTCGGAAGAAGTTCCGAACACAAACATTGTTTTTTCGCCGAAGAACTTTTCTTTCCAATCCAATCTAAAAGATACGCTCATTTTAGAACGAAATTCGGCTGGGTTGAGGGCGTTTTCGTGCGCTGTATTCTGAATATTTTCGGTGTCATGCTCTACTTGAGAATCTCGTGGGTGACCGGCCAAGCTGGAGTTTGTAAGGGGTTTTTGGTTGAAATGCTAAAAAGCTTTTCAATTTCAGTGCTCGGCATCGTCATCGTCCTTTTAGCCTCGATGGTCACGACGATTACCGCAATTTCGACGTGCGCCATTTGCACGAATGGCGAAGTGAAAGGAGGAGGCGCGTACTTTTTGGTAAAATTATTAGCGTAAAGAATTCGAGGGATTTCTCAGATCTCGCGCTCACTTGGCCCGGAATTTGGCGGCTCGATTGGGTTGATTTTTTGTGTCGCAAATGGGGTGAGAGGAAAAAAAAGCAAAAAAAAGCGAAAAAAAAATCGAATTTTATTGAGATCACGGTTTTCAGGTAGCCGCCTCAATGTATGTTGTCGGTTTTGCTGAAACGATTCGGGATATGTTAGGTGAGTGATTTTTGAGTGATTTGATCATTTCAAATCGATATTCTCCTAATTCGGGCATTTTTTTTGAAAATTCATTCAGATTCAGATTCAACTCCTTGAAAACCACAAATTTTCAGATAAAAAAGGCACTAGACTCCCTGAATTTCCCTTTTAATGACCCCCTAAGCGACGGGGTGCTAGAAAGCGCGCGATTACGTGCCCGCACAAAGTACATCGGTTGGAGAAAGGAGAAAATAGGGAGCTGGACGATTTTTGGGGTTATTTAATCGGGAATCTACAAATCCAATCTCATTTTTCGCGGATCTGGAACGCATTCAAGTGCCAGAAAGCGCGCGATTACGTGCCCGCACAAAGTACATCGGTTGGAGAAAGGAGAAAATAGGGAGCTGGACGATTTTTGGGGTTATTTAATCGGGAATCTACAAATCCAACCTCATTTTTCGCGGATCTGGAACGCATTTGACCGCTTTTTCGACTAAATTTTGTAATATTAAGAGATTTTGCGAATTGGCCGAATTCCATAAGGAGTTGGGTAGTTTTTGGCGTCTATTAGTCTAAAATTTAATAATTTAAATATATTTCTTGCTAATCTGGAACGCATTCGATTGTTTTCCTAAATAAACTTGGTAATATCAAGGTCTTGAAAAAGATTAGAGTAAAAGGGTCAGCCGATTTTATAATACGCGTGTTGAAATCACATTCATTCAGCGAGATTCCCACTAGACACGTTGAAAACATCACACCCGCCTCTCCTTTCCCAATTCCCCCTTTTATTGACCCCCTCAGCGACGGGGTGCTAGAAAGCGCGCGATTACGTGCGCGCACAAAGCACATCGGTTGAAGGAAGGAGAAAATAGGGAGCTGGACGGTTTTTGGGGTTATTTAATTGAAAATTTATGAATCTAACTTGATTTTTTGCGAATCTGAAACGCATTTGACTGTTTTTCTGACTAAATTTGATAAAATCAACAGATTTAGCAAATTAGCCGACTTCCATAGGGGACTGGACGCTTTTTGGCCTTATTTAATTGAAATTTTACAAATCTAGCTTGATTTTTTGTCAATCTGGAACGCATTCAAGTGCCAGAAAGAGCGTGATTACGTGCGCGCACAAAGCACATCGGTTGAAGAAAGGAGAAAATAGGTAGCTGGACGGTTTTTGGGGTTATTTAATTGGGAATTTACGAATCCAATCTGATTTTTTGCGAATCTGGAACGCATTTGACTGATTTTCGTTTCAGTTGAGATCTCCTATTCAAGCAATGAGACAAAGACGTTTCTCGTGGAGCATTTTGGGTGAGATTCATGGAAAATAAAGTCGATTCAGCTAAATGGCTTCATTTTGAAGCCAACTTCTACGCAAAAACTATGCTTTAACTTCACCGTTAACTGTTTAAATGTTTTCAGGCCAATCGAGGATGGATTACCGAATTTCGTTCGACTCATCGGAATTGGTGGGTTTTTGAAACAAGTTGATGAACTATTTTCAAGTATTTTCAAGTAAATCATAAATTTTAAAAACGATTTTACAAGTTCTGGAAGGCACAAAACATTTTGCAGAAAAGAGTTTGCAATTTTAAGGAAAATAGGAAAATTGAGTGGTGAAGCGTTTGACTTTAGCCCGTTTTCTCGGCGATTTTCCAGCTTTGACCCAATTTTGAGTCAATTTTTGGTAAAGCTGGATAGCACTAAGCAATTTTGGTTAAAAATTAAGCAAAGAATTAGCAATTAAATGTCCGCCGATTTCTTACCATAACCCCTAAAAGTCCGCCAATTTTCTACAGTAACCTCGTAAAATCAGAGCAGTTTTCAGGCCAAAAACCTATCGTAACCCACAATTTCTAGCGTCTTGCCTCCTCCTGCTGGCCATTGTCTTCATCGGCACGTCGTTTGAATCGAAAATGCAGATGGGCTTATTGGTGATTCTGCTCTCGTCGATTCTCGACTATTTTGCCGGTGTTTTGGTGAGTGAATGTTGTTTTTAGCAAAAGATTTCCTCAATCTGGAGCACAGGAGAGCTATTGTTTTCGTTTTTAAATCGAAATTCATCATTTAAACTTTTTCAGTTCCGTCCAATCAGTGATCATATGCACGTTCGTGGAGCGACCACTTTCAGTTGTGAGTGAAAGCTTTAAATCGAAATTTCTAGCATCAATTAGGCTCTAAACCACTGGCTGATTATCTAAGTTAATTATCTAAGTAATTTTACAGTAGTCTTACCGGTTTAATTACCCGAATCCAGTTCAAAAACCCGGTTCAATTACCCAGTTCAGTTTCAAAAGCTCGGCTACAGTATCCTAGCAAAATTCCCATGCAAAAAGCTACAGTATCTTAGCTACAGTTAGCAAAATTTCTGAATTCTTGCATTGTTAATTCAGCAATCCTTTCAGGGAACACGCTGATGGCGAATCTGATGCCGAAATTCCGGAATGAAACCTTTTTCTCAGTGTTCTCCGTCTATTTCCCTGCCGCAACAGGCATCATGGCCGGCGCAAACATTTCTGGAGATCTAGCTGATCCGCAGGTTGGACAAAAAACTGGTATAATGCTCAGCAATGTTCCAGTTTGGCTCTAGACTTAGGTCCAAGCCTGGGCTAGATCCTTGCCAAAAGTCTTGAACCCAAGCCTGAGCTTGAGCTTAAGCCTGAGCCTGAGCCCAAGCTTGAGCTTGAGCTTAAGCCTGAGCTTGAGCTTAAGCCTGAGCCTGAGCCTAAGCCTGAGCCTAAGCCTGGGCCTAAGCCTGAGCCTAAACAAAGCCAAAAGCCAGCCTTGGACCCACAGGGACATACAGGGTGACTGGAAATAACCCAGACAACCTTTTTGACTCGATCTTTACATGCAAATGAACTAAATACTTTAAAAAATTGTCAATTATACACGCTTATTGGTTTTCGTGTTTTTCTTAGCATCAATCCCTCCATTTTGACTATCATTCGATGCAAAATGCAAAATGATGCAAAGGCAGAATTCCGCGTCGAATGATACCAAAATGAGCTCAAAATGTAGTATTCATGCAAAGTTATAAGGCAAAAGGTAAAGGGACACCCATAGTGGGCGGGGCTTAGGTTTTTCGTGTTTTTCTCAGCAAGAATTTATTTATTTTGTCTATCTTGGCTATCATTCGATGGAAAATGAAATTCCGCGTCGAATGATAGCTAAATTAGTTCAAAATGTAGTATCCACGCAAAGTTATTGGCTAAAAAAAGCTAAGCCCCGCCCCTTAACCTTTTTGCCTTATAACTTTGCATGGATATCATATTTTGAGCTCATTTTGGTATCATTCGACGCGGAATTTTATTCCTACATAAAATGATAGTCAATATAGTCAAAATGGAAGGATTGATGCTAAGACAAATCCAAAAAACCCGCCCACTATGGGTGTCCCTTTACCTTTTGCCTTATAACTTTGCATGGATGCTACATTTTGAGTTCATTTTGGTATCATTCGATGTAGAATGAAATTCCGCGTCGAATGATAGTCAATATGGTCAAAATGGAAGGATTGATGCTAAGAAAAACACGAAAAACTTTAAACTGCCAACAGCAAAAAAAAAAAAAGGGAAAGACAGATCTTAAAAAGATTATTTGTTTAAGAGGTCATAGAATCACTTTCTAAAGCCCGAACCACTTACCGTACCCGATTTTACTCGATTCCAGGGCGCGATCCCCCTCGGCACCCTTCTTGCCATCCTTTTCACCACAATTATCTACCTCGTAGTCGTCATTTTCACTGGCATCACGAATGTTAGGCAAGTTTATATGTAAATCTCGAATTCTAGATCGCTTCAGAGATGCTGACGGCCTGCTTGCTCCATTATTCGACGCGGCTGGCGAGTTTATCGCCCCAAATTGCACTCAATCCGCTGAAGGTTGTCGCTACGGGTTGATGAACTATTATCAAGTAAATCATAAATTTTAAAAACGATTTTACAAGTTCTGGAAGGCACACAACATTTTGCAGAAAAGAGTTTGCAATTTTAAGGAAAATAGGAAAATCGAGTAATGAAGCGTTTGACTTTAGCCCGTTTTCTCGGTGATTTTCCAGCTTTGCCCCAATTTTGAGTTAATTTTTGGCAAAGCTGGATAGCATTAAGGAATTTTGGAACATTTTCGAGCTTTCAGGTCGTCGAAAAAAAAATCGAGTAATGAAGCGTTTGACTTTAGCCCGTTTTCTCGGTGATTTTCCAGCTCTGCGCCAATTTTGAGTTAATTTTTGGCAAAGCTGGATAGCATTAAGGGAATTTTTGGAATATTTTCGAGCTTTCAGGTCGTCGAAAAAAAATCGAGTAATGAAGCGTTTGACTTTAGCCCGTTTCTCGAAGATTTTCCAGCTCTGCGCCAATTTTGAGTTAATTTTTGGCAAAGCTGGATAGCATTAAGGAATTTTGGAATATTTTCGAGCAATTTTGGAATATTTTCAGGTCGTCGAAATGGGGTCGATGTGGGGGCCGCTGATCACCGCCGGCATCTTCGCGGCCACACTCTCCAGCGCCCTAGCCAGTTTGGTCTCGGCACCGAAAGTCTTTCAGGTAGTCTTTCCTTTCAGGTTTGAGGCAAAATTTTTTTAGCATTTTTGTGTAATGGCTTAAGGATACAGTAAAAGTTAAAGTAAAACAAGTAAAAAAAATATTTTGCACTCGATGAGCCATCCATTTTCGTGAATTAAATCGTGGATCAAATTAAATCGCGAATTAAATTAAATCTAGTTATAAGGGTGAAATTTTAAGTTATTCAAGATAGAGAAAACGATGGTGTTATCAAAATCTAACAGAAGTTTTCCGATTCCGATTTTTGGGGATGGCTTTATCTTTTTTGAAACGCGATTTAGTTAGCATCTTATTGAATCAGCTACAGTACCAAGAGTTGGCTTATTCAAGAATAAGCATACACTATCATTATTTATGCCGAACAACAGCCTAAACAAAGCTTTGGTAAAGTGCTTGAGTTTTTACGACTGATTTTTATTCGATTCCTTATTCAAGAAAAAGCATAAGCTGCAAGTATCAGCACAACCAGCTAGATCATTCTGAAACGTGATGTATTGGGTTTGAATGAATTGAATTGGTGAATTGAAAACCGCCGACTTTGAACTAAAATTTATTCAACATAAAACCATCAATTCATTCCAAATTATCTCCATTATTATTAACGACTTCTGCCCATTTTAGCAGGCAATTTGGGATCCTCTTTCTGGGTAGGATTTGGTTTTGTGTGTGGGACAAGTGTGAGACTCAAAAATGGAGGACTGGAGATATCCCAGGTTTGAGCACTTTCTTCAAGGGGACCCATCTTGGTGTCAATAGAAAGTTGTAGAGAATGAAAATTTAGGCTTATAGCTAAATTCCCCCCCAGAAAGATATACTTAGTAGTTTCGCTTAAAATGCAAGTTTTATGAAATTTTCGTAAATTTGGCATTTCTTGAAAACCAGTTTCTGAATCGTTCTGGAAAATTTGGATATAAGCTTGATTTTTGATTCTCTAGCAACTTTCCATTACACCAAGATGAATTTTCTTTTGAAGGAAGTGCCCAAACTGTCACATATAACAAATGACAATAGCCCGCAGTTTTCAATTCACCAATCCAATAGTTAACATCTTATTGAATCAGTTACAGTACCCAAGAGTTGGCTTATTCAAGAAAAAACATAAGCTACAGTACCCTACAGGGTCAGCTATCAAACTAGAGTATTTTAGTGCTTTTCCAGGACATTCAAATCAAGTGTAGGCGAATTCTCAAAGTACAATAGTACATAGTACAATACTCTTAAACTACAGTAGCTGATTTGTACCGGTACTGGGATTTACAAATCACTAAACTTCTTTCCAGTTTTTTAAATGTAAACCTTATTCAGGCAGTGTGCAAGGATCGCCTTTTTCCGAAAATCGACTTTTCGCTAAAGGCTATGGGAAAAGATGATGAGCCGAGACGAGCCTACGCGCTCGTAGAATTCTCGCGTTGGCTGCGATCATGATTGGTTTGTATCTACGATTTTATTACTTAATTCTAAAACACTCGTGTGCTTGTATTGGTTCAATCACCCAGCAATTTCTTGATTGATCGTTGACGCTGATCATGATAAGAAATTGAAAAGATCTCTCACCGGTTTAAATATACAAACCTATTGTGAATCGAGCTGCCGTAGGCTCGAACTTGTGCATTATAAATGAAACTTTAAAGAACTTAAAAGAACTTTAAAAACTACTCTAGAAGATCAAGAACAAAGTGCATCAGAATAGTTTTTGGCTAGACACCGGTTTAAATATCTTTTGGTTGGCTGATATCTAATACGGTTCCAGTACGGTTCCAATACGGTTCCTACTTTGATCTAATACGGTTCCAGTACGGTTCCAATACTGTTCCAATACGGTTCCTATTTTAATCTAATAGGGTTCCAATACGGTTCCAATACGGTTCCTATTTTGATCTAATACTGTTCCAATACGGTTCTTTTCTTGATCTAATACGGTTCCAATACGGTTCCAATACGGTTCCTACTTTGATCTAATACGGTTCCAATACGGTTCTTTTCTTGATCTAATATGGTTCCAATACGGTTCCAATACGGTTCCTACTTTGATCTAATACGGTTCCAGTACGGTTCCAATACGGTTCCTATTTTGATCTAATACTGTTCCAATACGGTTCTTTTCTTGATCTAATACGGTTCCAGTACGGTTCCAATACGGTTCCTATTTTGATCTAATACTGTTCCAATACGGTTCTTTTCTTGATCTAATACGGTTCCAATACGGTTCCAATTACTCAATCTTTTAGGTGACCTAAACGCCATTGCGCCGATCATCTCGAACTTTTTCCTTGCCTCGTACGCGCTGCTCAACTACGCCTGCTTTGATGCCTCGTTCGCCGATTCGCCAGGTTTACTTCTTACAATTTTGATTTGTATGAATTTAATTACCCAAATACAGTCGACGCTGATAGTAAATCATTCGGAAACTCCCGACAAAAGCGCTTAAGAAAATAAAAGGGCAAAAAACTCGATAGTAAGTAACTCGATAGTAAATCACGCTCGATAGCTAATCATTTTTGGAGAAACCCTTTGGAGCTAATCATTGGAGCATCCAATTTACTATCGAGCGTCGACTGTAATCTCAATTTCTCACTGTTTTCAATAAATTGCTTTTAATAGCTCATTTTAATAAAAAGCTCATTTTACCGCTTTACCGGTTCAATTACCCAATTGCACAAGGGATAAAACTCATCCTGATCCAACCAATTGATTATCTAGATTACCTAAGCACTCGTACATGTACATGAGTACATAGATAGTTAAACCAAAAAAGACCAAACCAAAAAACCAAACCAAAAACTTGGGCTCAATGATCTTTACTAGCTTACTAGCGAAAATCGTTACCACTGCAATCTTTAACAAAAAATGTAGTGAAATCGAGATTCTAACAAATTTATCCTAAATCCTGGAGCGCACAAGAGATTTTCGCTGCTACAAAAAATCTAAATCTCAACTTTGAGAAAAAGTGAAAATTGTTACCGTTACCACAGCGATTTTTAGCCTAAAATGTGATAAAATCGAGATTCTAACAAATTATCCTAAATCCTGGAGGGCACAAGAGATTTTGGCAGCTACAAAAAATCTAAATCTCAACTTTGAGAAAAAGTGAAAATTGTTATCGTTACCACAGCGATTTCTGATCAAAAATGTGATAAAATCGAGATTCTAACAAATTTATCCTGGATCCTGGAGCGCACAGAAAACTTTGGCAGCTACAAAAAATCTAAATCTCAACTTTGAGAAAAAGTGAAAAGCGTTACTGTTACCACAGCGATTTCTGATCGAAAATGTGATAAAATCGAGATTCTAATAAATTTATCCTGGATCCTGGAGCGCACAGAAAGCCTTGGCAGCTACAAAAAATTACCTACAGCACAAACCGATTTCATCGCCCAACCATATTTTCCTTTCCAGGTTTCCGTCCCGGCTTCAAGTACTATAGCATGTGGATTTCGTTAGCCGGCTCGATTCTCTGCATTTGCGTCATGTTTCTCGTGAGCTGGTTTGTTCTTAGCCGAATCGATTACCCAATCTCCAACCTCTAGGGCAACCGCTCTGCTCACCTTTTTCTTCTTCGCCATCCTCTTTTATATATCTATTGCATCGAAAACCGGGTAAATTTTGAGAAAATCAGATTTTAGCTGGATTTAAACCAAATTCTCAAGGGCACTTTTTGCTTTTGGAAATGGAGAATTTCTGGTTTTGGCCGAATTTTGTTCATTTTGAGAAAAACGAAAATCGTTACCACAGAGATTTTTGGCCAAAAATGTGATGAAATCGAAATTCTAACAAATCTATTCTGGATTCTGGAGGGCACAAGAGACTTTGAGAGCTAGAGCTAAAGCTAGAGAAAAGCTAAATTTTCAGATGTGAATTGGGGCAGCTCTACCCAGGCGCATTCCTACAAAAACCGCTTTCGTCAATGGTGAAATTGGTGAATACGGAGGAACACGTGAAAATTATCGGTAAAGGAGAAATTTTGAGGATTTTATTAGATTTTCTAGGCTTTTCTAAGCTAGATTCTAGGTTTGTCGAAGGCTTTTCTAAGCTAGATTCTAGGCTTTCAAGGATTTCTAGGATTTCTAGGCTTTACAAAAACAAAACAACTCTTGCCCGTTATTCGGGGTTTTTTTTTCTCTCGTTTCTTGCTCCTAAAGCTCCAGAACTTTCTTTAGAGACAATATTATTTCTTCTTTTTATTTAGTTTTAAAGAGGAGACTTTAGGCTTTAAAATAAATTAAAATAAAGCCTAATTCGACTAAAGAAATCTAAAAGAATCGAGGAAAAAAAACACAAGTCAAAAAAGCTCAAATCGGATTCACAAAACTCTCAAATCCAAGCCACGACCTATAAAATGGCGCCACACCAAACGGGAACAAGAGCAGCGGTGGTCTAGGGGATAGTGTGCTAGATTCTAAAACGAGCGGCATTTATTCCTGAGCGGGTTCAATTCCAGCTTGCCGCCAAATTAGTTTTCGGAAGTTTTCCAAAAAGTAGAGAATTTGGGGGCAAACGGAATTGAACCCGCGAGAAAAATCGGATCGGTTTTACAGCCTAGCACACTATCCACTAGACCACCGCTGTTCTTGAGATCGTTCGGCTTAAAGTCCTCTTAAAGGGTGAGGTCGTGGTTTGGACCCGAAAACTAAGGCTCATTACTCACCGCTCCTTTCCCTTTGCAGATTTTACGAGGAAAACCCTTTATACGAAACGGGTATACCAGATGGACAGCTTGATTGTGCGCACACACAGAGAACACAAAGCTATTTCCTTCTTTTGCTTTGTAGATAGCATAAAAAGAAGCTATGGCATGAAAATTTGTGCCCAGGGGTTTTCGGGGACAGTGAGAATCGGTGGAGCCATTCATTTTATGCACCATTAGCTTTTTTGCCGTCTACCTAATGTTATGGTATTTTTGAGCGCGACTTTTCATTTAAAAACCTCTGTAAAAGCTTTTCTTTAGGCCGCAACTTCTTGTTTTGACTGGAAATCCGGCGGCAAGACCGTCACTCGTTGATTTTGGTGAATATACGAAAGGGACAAGCTAATGGTTTGTGGATATGTGGTGCCGGTGGTGACTTTCCTTTTAATGAAATAGCTTCTTTTAAGCCAAAATAGCTTCTTTAAGTCTTTTTTGATTCGTCTTTCGTCTTTAATTCGTCTTTTAATTCGTCTTTAATTCGGCTTTAATTCGTCTTTAATTCTGGCTTTAATTCTTGAATTCTTGAATTTCCTATTTCTTTCCAGTACGCACCATGTGATCGCGTCTATTCAGTGCTTCAGAAGCTCGATCGTCAGCTAAACGATTGGTTGAAGAAGAAAAATTAATTAAAAAAAAGCGATTGCCGAAACAGATTTATTCAAAATTATCGGGAACCAAATAAACGCCAAAGCTTTTGCTTTTGACTTAACGACTTTTAAAATTGACTTTAACAACTGGAAAGGAAAAGTAACAGCGAAGGGAAAGATAACAGAGAAGGTCTCTTTCGATTTTTAGGAACGAGTCGTCTGATCGACTGGAACAAGTCGTTCAGTCACTAGGAAAGACTCGTCCAGTCCCGCCTTGACTTCCAAGATCAAAATAACCATGATTGAAGCGTTTGAACCGATCGTCCCTCGATCGCACCAGTTTTGTCAACAGTTCCTTTGCTTTGATCTTGAATCTGGCAGAAACCTCAGAAATCTTACAGCAGATCGGCTTCCGCTTAACAGCGCAGACAGACCTTTTTTCTAATAGTAACCGAACAAAGCAAGCAAAAACAAAATAAGCAAAAGTTCACTTTTATTTATCTAAAGATGTGCGAATGTGTAAAGTAAGTTATAAGAAAATACTCGAAAGAAAGCAGATCGAAAGCAGGCTTTCAAACGAAAGGCAAAAATCATCACAATCCATTGAACAATGGATCCAAACTAATCGAACGATTAGATAATAAACTTTTTTAACAATCTGGTATATTTCCTATCGGCTATGCTTTCAGCTTTCTACACGTCGATTGCCAGCCCGTCGCTTAGAGATGGAGTACGATCGTTGTACCAAGTAAATAAACTTATAAAGACATCAAGACATCTAGAAATCAAGAAATCTAGAAATCTAGAAATCTAGAAATCAAGAAATCAAGAAATCAAGAAATCTAAAAATCAAGAAATCAAGAAATCAAGAAATCTAAAAATCTAGACATCCAGAAATCTAGAAATCTAGAAATCAAGAAATCTAGAAATCAAGAAATCTAGAAATCTAGAAATCTAGGGAAATCCCTAGAAATCTAGAAATCAA